GTGGCGCATGCCTTGCAATCTCAGCATTTTGCAAGGCTAAAGCAGACGGATTGCATGAGCCCAGGAGTTTTAGACTAGCCTGGACAATATCACAAAACCCCAACTTTACAAAAAAATTTAGCTGGGCATGGTAGTGCATACCTGTTGTCCCAGCTACTCAGGAGGCTAAGGTAGGAGAATAGCTTCAGCCCAGGAGGGTGAGGCTGCAATGAACCAAGATCATGCCACTGCACTCCAGCCTAGGCAACAGAGTAAGACCCTGTCTCAAAAATAAATAAATAAACCAGTAACGCAGTCGTTTGTTACAGCTATCAAGTATTATGTATTGCACATAATTGTATGTGCTATATTTTTATACAGTTGGCAGTGCAGTAGGTTTGTTTACAACAGCAATATCGCAAATGTGTAATGCATTGCACTATGATGGTATGACAGCAATGATATCACTAGGTAATAGGAATTTTTTAGCTCTATTTCATCTTATGGGACCACTGTCATAAATGGAGTCGGACATTGAAATGTTATGAGCTGCATGACTGTACATTGGAATTAACCGAGGCGAAAGACTTGTACAATGAAGACTAGAAAAGACTGCTGAAAGAAATAAAAGAAGATACACATAAACAGAAGCACACCCCATTTTCATGGATTAGAACACTTAATAATGTTAAGATATCAATATTATCCAAAGACATCTACAGATTCAGTGCAATCTCTACCAAAATCCCAATGACACTTTTTACAGAAATAGAAAAATTATCCTAAAATTCATAAGGAATCCTAAGTGACAGCAAATAGCCACAACAGTCTTGAAAAAGAACAAAGCTAGAGGACTCATACTTCTTCCTGATTTCAATATTTACTACAGAGCTACAGTAATCAAAACAGTATTTTAATGGCATAAAGACCGACACATAGAACAACAGAATGTAATATACAGCCTCAGAGGCACAGGCAACAACAACAAAAATAGGCAAATTAAAGTTAATGAAAATTAAAAATTTTTGTGTCTCAAAAAACTGTATCAACAGAGTAAAATGGCAACCCACAGAATGGAAGAAAATATTTGCAAATCATATATCTGACAAGGTATTAATATCCAGAATATACAGAGAACTCCTGCAACAACAACAAAAATAAACAACCTGATTCAAACATGGGGAAAGGAGTAGAAAAGACATTTTTCCAAAGATGGTAATCAAATGGTCAATAAGCACATGAAAAGATGCTCAACATTACTAATCACTAGGGATATGCAAATCAAAACTACAATGAAGGCCAGGTGCAATGGCTCAGCCTGTAATCCCAGCATTTTGGGAGGCCGAGGCGGGTGGATCATCTGAGGTCAGGAGTTCGAGACCAGCCTGACCAACATGATCAAACCCCGTCTCTACCACAATACAAAAATTAGCCAGACATGGTGGTGCACACCTGTAATCCCAGCGACTCAGAACCTGGGAGGCGGAGGTTGCAGTGAGCCGAGATCATGCCATTGCACTCCAGCCTGGGTGACAAGAGCGAAACTCCGTCTCAAAAAAAAAAAAAAACAAAATCTACAATAAGATATCACCACACATCCATTCAGATGGATACTATAAAACAACAACAACAATGAAATAAATAGTATTGGTGAGGATATGGGGAAACTGAAACCCTTCTGCACTGGTGGTGGGAACGTAAAATGGTACAGCTGTTATGGAAAACAGTACAGTGTCTTAAAAAAATTAAAAACAGAACTACCATATGATCCAGCAATTCTACTTCTGGGTATTTACCCATCAAAACTGAAAACAGGGTGTTGAAGAGGTATGTGCACACCAATGTTCACAGCAACATTATTCATAACAGCTAAAACTTGGAAGCAACACAAGTGTCCATCAGTGGATGAACGGATAAGCAAAATGTGGCATATACACACAATGGAATATTATTCAGCCTTACAAAGGAAGAAAATTCTGACATATGCTACAACATGAATCAACCTTGAGCATACCACGCTAAATGAAATAAGTCAGTCACAAAATGACAAGTAATGTATGACTCCCATACAGAGTACTTAAGAGTAGACAAAAATCAGAGAGACAGACAAGAGAATGGCAGTTGCCAAGGGCTGGAGTGAGGGTGGAATTGGGGAGTTATTATTTAATGGGTATAGAGTTTCAGTTTTACAGCCTGAAAAGAATTAACTAAGATGGATGGTTGTGATGGATGTGTAACAGTATGAATGTATTTAAAATCACTAAACTGTATATATAAAATGCTTAAGATAATAAATTTTATGTGTATTTTAACACAGCAAAACAAAATTGGAAAAAAGACATTACTGGGACAACTGGCAAATTCTAATGGGGTTTAAGGATTAGGTGGTTATTAACATACCAATGATAATTTCATGATTTAAAAAAATTTTTAAAAATTCTGTGGTCTAGGGGGAAGAAAAGAAAAAAAAATTTTTTTTTTTGGTAATTATTAGTTTTTTAGACACAGAATCTCACTTGTTGTCCAGGCTTTAGTATAGGACTCTTCACAGGCATCAATCATAGTGTACTGTAGCCTTGAACTCCAAGCCTCAAAGGATCCTCCTGGCTCAGCCTCCTGAGTAGCTGGGACTACTGGCGCTAGCTAATTTCTTGATTTTGATGAGTATTTTGTTGTTATGCAGGAGAATGTCTTTGTAGAAAATAAATTCTAAAGCGTTTAGGGTGACACAGCATCAGGTTGGTAATTTACTTTCAAATATTTCAGGAAGAAAAAGTTCTCCCAATTTTTAAGTTCTTGATCATTTTAAGATGAAAAAAATACATATTTATAGTACAATCGAGGCAAGAAAAGTCAGTTGACATTTAGTCTGACAGTTTGTGGCCTATGTGCATAAATGATTTTTAAATAATTAGTGCTACTGAAGCTAAGTCTCAATTTACCAGGCTGATGCTACTACATAGTGTTCAGTGGATACTTTTATGCCATGTCCAATTTATTCACCAGTGTTACACCGCTATCATAACTAAACCTCAGCAAGACAGTCAACTATTTGTGACAGATTAAAACACATCAAAGCCTATAAATGGGGCAATTTTCTATATCCTTATGCAATTTGGACTTAGTTTGGTAAATTGTCATAATTTTGGCTTTTTGATATTTGTGATATATTAAACAGAAGGTAATAAAAACACTCCTCAACTTTGTTAGTAATCAAAGAACTACAAATGAAGCTATTTCTCATTAATAAAAATTTTTTAAATTTAAAAAGGTTTCTAATATTTAATTCCTCAATATCTAATAATCAAGGAAATACACATTCCATCATAATCATAAAAACTTTTAAACATTCTGTGTTGGTGAGAAAATCAGCACTACTTAAACTAGCCAAGTATTGTGAGATGTAAATAGGAAGTAAGTCTAAAACTTTAAATTCACCTATCCTTTAAGTGAGCAATTCCATCTCTAGAAATTTCTTAAAAGCAAATATCTTGATTGTTCTTTTTTTTTTTTTTTGAGACAGGGTCTCACTCTGTCGCCCAGGTCGGAGTGCAGTGGTGCAATCTCAGCTCACTGAGACCTCCACCTCCCGGGGGGTTCAAGCGATTCTCCTGCCTCAGCTCCCAAGTAGCTGGGATGACAGGCGCGTGCCACTACACCCAGCTAATTTTCGTATTTTTAGTAAAGAAGTTTTCACCATGTCGGTCAGGCTGGTCTTGAACTTCTGGCCTCAAGTGATCCAGCCACCTCGGCCTCCCAAAGTGTTGGGATTACAGGCATAAGCCACTGCGCCCGGCCGTTGATTGTTCTTAAGATTCTTGACACACACAAAAAGAATTACTTATTTATGGGCATAAAGGTTTATGCAGAAATATGTTCATTGACAGCAACATTATAGGAATAAAGAAAAACCTGAATATAGAATCATGGGATAGTGTTGACAGAAAGACTTTCAAGTTTATCTGTGTATAGTTATGTATTACTATATAGTCCTAGAATCTTTAAAAAAGTATTAATGAATTAAGTAATTAAGAAAAGATATGTTTCCTTATTATAAAAAATAACTAGGACAGGCACAGAGGCTCACACCTATAATCCCAGCACTTTGAGAGGTTGAGGTGGGAGGATCATTTATGGCCAGGAGTTCAAGACCAGTCTAGGCAATATAGGGAGGTCCCATCTCTATAGAAAATTTATTTGAAAAGGTGAAATTAGCTGAGTATGGTGGTCTGTAGTCCCAGCTACTCAGGAGGCTGAGGTGGGAGGATCGCTTGAGCCTAGGAGGAAAAGGTTGCAGTGAGCTATATTTCAGCGACTACACTCCAGACTGGGCAACAGAGTGACACCTAGTCTCTTAAACAAAACACTAAAACATTTGTAGTGTTTTGTACTATAGTATCAATTTTTATATAACTTACCTGCATCTTACTGCACACTGGGATTAGGACAGGTGGTATAATCATCATCATCCTCTTTTGGAGGTGATAACTGAGACTCGGGAAAGTTAACCATCTTGACAGGCTATGCAGCTTAGTGTTAGAGCTTAGAACTAAGCCCATTTCACCCAAATCCAAATCCTAATGGTAACTTTCCTTATATTTCGTCCTTGAAATGTATTTTACTAATAAAAAAGTTGATGATTTCATGCTTAAAGGGCTACTATAAAGAATGGGTATTTCTTCAAAGGTTTTGTCATCGTGGTATAAAAATTAATGATCAAATAAATTGTGTCTGGAGATAAAGTAAATGTATAAGCTACAATTGGTTTTAGTTATTTCTAGGTGGCAACTAAGGTTTTCTTGACTTTGATCATGATCTCAAGATGACTACCCTGTTTCTCATTCAGGGGTAGAAAATTACCAAAGCACTAGAGATGAGTTCCTAGAAGACGGGAGAAAACATTCTTATTCTAAAAATTGTTGCTTTTTGGGAGTTATAATAAAAGAGCATATGCATTTCTTCTACTTCATCGATTACCAGGTTCTCCAAAACAGACAGTAGCAGTGTGACCCAGAACATACCGTCAGGAAACTGGTCAGCATCATCATCAAACATGGCTTCCTTGAGGGCAGACTTGTTGAAGGGACTGATGCTATCTGAATAGTTATATGGATTATAGTCTCGAGAGCGTGGAGAGGAGTGAGTAGGCACTGAATGAAGCAATGAAGCTTTATTATCAAGAGCTGTTTGGCTTGAGTCAGTGGCATCACCTCCTGCTCTTGGGTCAGACATCCCAGGACCACCACACATCTATCAATGGCAAGGAGAAGGCACAGCAAATTAACTCATTTGCAGGTATCTATTTAACATTCTACAAAGATATTTCTCTACTGCTTAAAAGACAATTTTAAAAAGATAACAATAACCAGCTAAAAAATTTAAGTAATGGCAATCAATATTATGAGTTACAATTTATATTCCAGATGTCAAAGCTTAAACATATAAACTACAGCTGTGAAGGCAAATAAGAACCGTAAAAGAATGGTGCCTCTAATGATTATTACAGTTCCTTTGCCAATGAATTGACCAGACAATATGTACAGTGTGATTACCAGCAGCTTCTCCATGTCAGTTAAAGATACGAAAGAACTTTCATAAGCAACACAGCACTACAAGCTGCCAGATTCCATTATTAAGGAACGGTATATCATACAATAGTATGTCAACAAAGCATAGTAAAATCAAATTTTAAAAGGCTTGCTTTAAGGAGGGGAAAAAAAAAAAAGAAAGGCTTAAAAGGCCTGCATAACTTTTGGAAGGATGCCAAAAGAATTTGGGTACGTTAATGTACTTACCAAAATATGAATATGAATATTGATACAAATACTGGTATCAAAATAATTACTACCACGAGTATCAGCATCACCACCATCCACTGGGCAACTATGTGCCAAGCCATTTGCTAGGCGCTTTACAAATATTCTTAAAATATTTGCTACGCACCTATTATTAAATGCCTGGCATTGTTCACAGCATTGGGAATACATCAGTAAGCAAAAGAGAGAATGATGTCTACCCCAATGGAGTTTATATTTTAGTGGAGGGACAGACGAAAAAAAAAAAAAAAAACTTCAATGAATGAATAAAGTATATGACATGTCAGAAGAAGGAATCATGAATGCTGAGGTGGGAGGACAGTTCACAGATTAAATAGGATGAGTAGGGTTCACTGAGAAGCCATTTGAGTAAACACTTGAAGGAAGTAAGGGAATTAGCCAAGGGGCTCTCTGGAGGTAGAGTGTTTCAGGTAGAGAAAACAGCCAATACACAGATCCTGAGGCAGGAACATGCATAGTAAGTTCAAGGAACAGCAAGGAGGCCAGTGTGGCAGAAGCAGAGTGAACAAGGAAGAAACTAGCAGGAGATGAGGCCAGAAAGGTAACAGAAAAAAAGTGTATTGTGTAGACTTTGGTTTTTACTCTGAGACAGAGACCTCCTACAGAGTTGAGTGAGAGTGGGAATGTACTGTCGGAGGTCAAGGGCATAATCGAGGACAAATTTTAATAATCCAGGTGAGAGAAATGATGAAGATGATGGCTCAAACCAGAAAGGCAGTGGTGAGAATAGGCTGAATTCTGGATACATTCTGCAGTGGAGTCAGCACATTTCCTGACAGATTTGGTATAGAGGATGAGAAAAACAGAGGACTCAACAAACTCTTGTCCATGGGTTTTGACTAGGCAACTAGGGTTGCCATTAACTAAGATAGGAAAGAGCAGCTTTAGGGGAGAAGACCAGGAGTTCAAACAGGCAGCTGAACGTGAATGTGGAACTCAGGAAAGAGGTCTAAGCTGAATAGAGTCATAGTATTTATTATACTCACAACAACTTTTAAGGTAAGCAGTGACATCCCTATTTTCTTAATGAAGACTTTGAAGCTTAGAGGTATCACCTGATTAGCTAATAACTGACAGGAACTGGGATTTGAACTCATTCTGCCAAAATTCACAATTTGAGTGCCCTACCCTGTACCATGCTGTGTCTGGGAAAAAAAAAAACAAAACTGAGTCTCAGTGAAGCAGTGATTCTTACTGATCTGCGATTGCTACCATATGCAGCTTTGAAGAGTAGGGAACCTCAAATATCAGTGATAAGCTGGTTTTGGCAGCCAGTTTACTAGGCTGACCACAATTTAGCTCTGCCAGATAGGCACAGTGAGAAAAACAACTGCAGGACAGATGGCAGGAAGGCAGAGGAAGAAGTCCTTTGGAGATTTTCTGTAACTTTGCAAACATTGAGAAACAATGAATTCCATAGGAACTGGTGGGATGGCTCATTTTGTGAAAAGTCTAAGCTGTCAGAGACAAGTCTAAGAAGGAGCAAAGTAAAAAACTATTCTGTGTATAATGGCAGAAGCAATAAACAATATTCAAATATGTCAATAATATTAAATATATAAGAATGTTGTAGATTATAACATTCTTGCTTCAATGTAATGATGTTTTGTGTTTTTAAAAATACTTGAGAGTCAGTTACTTGCACACCAGAGAAATAAAACATTTGGCACATTATTAAAAAAACAAAACATATTCTTAACTGTAGTCACACAAACTGATGATGCAAATTACTATCACTACACCTAACAGGGAAAAAAAAATTCTAAACTCCTTATGTGTTCTTACAAGACTCAAAGTGATCTGGCCCATGTGCTACTCCTTTTCTCTCACAATGGTCCACCTACACTGGCTTTCTTCCTAGTCCTCAACTATACAAAGCTTGTTCACATCTAAATATCTTTGGATTTGCTGATTATTTCATGGAATTCTCCTCTAGATTTTATGTGGCTTTATTTAGGTTTCAATGCAAATGCTACCTTTGGAGAGAGGTCTTCTTGGACCACAAAATCTAAAACAGACTCACTTTCCTCTAAAGCACATTCTATCCTAAAACTCTATAATATTCATCTCTATATGACAATCTAAAAGGAATTTGAAGGCAGTGATTTTGTCGTATAAATCTAATGCTTCAAACAGTGCCTGGTATGTGGCAGATACTCAGTAAATACTTGTAGAGTGACTGACCCATAGAAAAGCATATTCAAAAATGACAGAAAGCAAAATGTAATTAAAATAATGCTTAATGAACAACGAAATAGTCTGCAAAGTAAGGATATTAAAATACTTACTGAATCGCCATCGTCTTTTTTAGAATCCCTTTTCAATGGCTCATTCATATCTTCTTGGCTACGGAAGCTGAAATTCTGGATTGCTTCAGTGACACCTCTAAGAGAGCTATAAATATCTTCAGAGTTCATATTTTCTGTGTCATAATCAAATGCACTATGAAAAAGACGACACTAATTTTTACTTAGGTGTAGTTATAAAACACAAACACATCTGAGGAGATTATATAAGGATATCTATAAAGACAAGATTAGAGAATGTATATCCTCAGAGCATCATTAGCAAAATAAAAAATAGCAGCTATATATAAAGTACATGTCTCTTTGTCCTTCCACCAAGGACACCTTACAGTTACTCTACAATGCACAGTCCTTAATAACTGGTTTGTCTTTCTACCTTGAAAAATGTTCTGATTAACCAGAGGTCAGTAAACTACGATGGCTTGCAAGTTAAGAACGTTTTTCACATTTTTAAATGGTTGAAAAAAACAAAAAAATTCATGAAAATTAGATAAAATTTAAATGTCAGTATTCATAAATAAATTTTTTTTCTTTTTTTTTGGAGACAAAATCTTGCTCTTGTCCCCTAGGCTGGAATGCGATGGCACGATCTCGGCTCACTGCAATCTCCGTCTCCCGGGTTCAAGTGATTCTCCTGCCTCAGCCTCCTGAGTAGGTGGGATTGCAGGCGCCAGCCACCAAGCCCGGCTAATTTTTGTATTTTTAGTAAAGACGGGGTTTCACCATGTTGGGCAGGCTGGTCTTGAACTCCTGACCTCAGGTGATCCGCCCACCTCGGCCTCCCAAAGTGCTGGGATTACAGACGTGAGCCACTGCGCCCGGCCCATAAATAAAATTTTATTAAACATAGTCATGACTATTTATTTAGGTATTGTCTATGGCTGTTTTCTATTTCTATTGCCGATGGCTGTTCTCATACAATAGCAGAGTTGAGAACAGACTCAAAGACCATGACTCAAATAGCCTAAAATATTTACCACTTGACCCTTTACAGAAAGTTTACCAATCTCTGTGATTAACTCCCAATAATGGTACTGCTTGAAGAAGAGATAAATGTATTTTAACATAAATTTGTAAGAAGGTAGAGGATTTTTAATACCGAACATAATTTTTTTTTTGAGATGGAGTTTCACTCTTGTTGCCCAGGCTGAAGTGCAATGGCGCAACCTTGGCTCACTGTAACCTCTGCCTCTCGGGCTCAAGCGAATCTCCAGCCTCAGCCTCCCTCAGCCTCCCGAGTAGCTGGGATTACAGGCTCCTGCCATCACGTACGGCTAATTTTTTTGTAATTTCAGTAGAGACGGGGTTTCACCATATTGACCAGGCTGGTCTCGAACTCCGAACCTCAGGTGATCTGCCCACCTCGGCCTCCCAAAGTGTTGGGATTACAGGCGTGAGCCACTGTGCCAATTTTTTTTTTTTTTTTTTAAGGGGCAGGGTCTTGCTGCTGCCCAGACTGGAGTGCAGTGGTGCGAACATAGCTTACTGCAGCCTTGAACTCCTAGACTTAAGTAATCCTCCTGCCTCAGTCTACCAAGTTGCTAGGACTACAAACACACACCACCATGCCTGGCTGATTTTTACGAGTTTTTCTGTAGAGATGAGGTCTCAATATGTTGCCCAGGTTTGTCCCAAACTCCTGGCCTCAAGTGATCCTCCTGCCTTGGACTCCCAAACAGATAGGATTGCAAGTGTGAGCCATATCATGTTATAGACATGAACTTTATAATCAAACGCTGAAATTCAACTGAAGCTGTAATTTAGCTACCAAATTTATCATATATGTAGAACACAGAAAAAACAGGGTAGGAAATGTTTGCAATATATTTTTCTCAGATGTTGATGTATTATCCAATACTTTTAATGAATAACTTGATGAAGCACACTATAATATATGGCTAATGACCATGAAGCTATTAACTATAAATACCAACTCTTTTTTTTTTTTTTTTTGAGATGGAGTCTTGCTCTGTGACTTAGGCTGGAGTGCGGTGGCACAACATCGGCTCACTGCAACCTCCGCCTCCTGGGTTCAAGTGATTTTCCTGCCTCACCCTCCTGAGTAGCTGTAACTACCGGCATGCACCACCACGCTTGGCTAATTTTTGTATTATTAGTAGAGATGGGGTTTTGCCATGTTAGTCAGACTGGTCTCGAACTCCTGACCTCAAGTGATCCTCCCGCGTTAGCCTCCCAAAGTGCTGGGATTACAGGTGTGAATGAATTATTGTGGAAGATAGTGTGGCAATTCCTCAAAGACCTATAGACAGAAATATCATTTGAGCCAGCAATCCCACTACTGGGTATATACCCAAAGGAATATAAATCATTCTGTTATAAAGACACATGCACACGTATGTGCACTGTAGCGTTATTCACAATAGCAAAGACATGGAATCAACCTAAATGCCCATCAGTGATAGACTGGATAAAGAAAATGTGGTACGTATACACCATGGAATACACCACAGCCAGCCCCAACTCCTTCTTAAAAAAACTTTTTAAGTTCAGGGGTATGTGTTCAGGATGCGCAGATTTGTTATATAGGTAAACATGTGTCATGGGGTTTGTTGTACATATTATTTTATCACCCAGGTATTAAGCCTAGTGTCCATTAATTATTTTTCCTGATCCTCTCCCTCCTCCTACCCTCTGCCCTCTGGTAGGCCCCAGTGTGTGTTGCTCCCCTCTATGTGTTCATATGTCTTCATCATTTAGCTCCTACTTGTGAGAACATGCAGTTTTTTTTTTTTTTTGTCGTTGTTCTTGCGTTAGTCTGCTAAGGATAATGATCTCCAGCTCCATCCATGTCTCCGCAAAGGACATGATCTTATTTTGTTTTTATGGCCACACAGTATTCCATGGTGTACCACATTTTCTTTATCCAGTCTATCACTGATGGGCATTTAGGTTGATTCCATGTGTTTGCTATTGTGAATAGCGCTACAGTGCACATACATGTGCATGTGTCTTTATAACAGAATGATTTATATTCCTTTGGGTATATACCCAGTAGTGGGATTGCTGGCTTAAATGATATTTCTGTCTATAGGTCTTTGAGGAACTGCCACACTATTTTCCACAAGAGTTCAACTAATTTACACTCACAAAAGTGTAAAAGTGTTCCTTTTTCTCCACAACCTTGCCGGCATCTGTTATTTTTTGAATTTTTAATAATAACCATTCTGACTGGTGTGAGATGGTATCTCACTGTAGGCTTGATTTGCATTTCTCTAATGATCAGTGATGTCGAACTTCTATGCAAACAATTTTTCAAAAGGCTAGGAAAAGGAAATAAAATTTTAGTCTACTAAGCAGTCAAGAACGTCATTTGAAATACAGCTCATGCTTGAATTGCACAAGTGTGTGAAAATTGTACACATCTTTTATTTTGTATTAAGGACCAATCTGAGTCATATTTTTTCCTCAGAGGTATATATCACTATTTTATTTTATATATATTTATATATATAATATATAATGAATATGACATTTGTTATCTATATCATTATATATACAATGAATTACATAGATATTATATATGTAATGAATTATAATATCTAATTCAATACATATATAATGAAAAAATTAAGCTTACAGACAAAACATAAAAATAACAAATAGGGAAGAGTTAAATATATAATAAATATAAAAATAGTGTTAAATATATAAAAATATAATAAATATATAATATATGAATATAAATCAGTTATAATCATTCTGAATATGAAATAAATCATTCTGAATATGAAAAGCATAATATGACCTAATATATGTCATAAATATATAAATATGACATATTATATATGTAATTCATTATATATGTAATTTATTTTATATAAACATGTAATTCATGATATATGTGATTTATTATATATGTAATTCATTATATATTACACATATATAATATGCCATATATTCATTATATATTCAGCCCTCCCCTATTTGTTATTTATGTTTTGTTTGCAAGCTTAATTTTTTAAACTCATCATTATAACTGACCTCATCACCACTTATACTGAGTAGTATAATGTAATTGAAAGACACAATTTGCAATTTACTGGATTTATACAGCATCTCTGAGAAATATAACTATGCCATTTAACGTAATAAACAGTAATTTATTTCAAAAAGCTATCGGTAGGTTTTCTTTCCACTTATTAAAAAATTCCATATCCTATACATTATCATTTAAGTAGTTGGCTTTCAAATAAACTTTGAATTTTTTTAATGTGCTAAGTTTCTACTTTTCTAAGACCTTTTAAGTCAAGTGGGAATTGACTTGAATTATATCAATGCTTGCTTTCTTAAGAATGGAATTTACAGCCAGGGGTGGTACCTCACACCTGTAATCCCAGCACTTTGGGAGGCCGAGGCGGGCAGAACACCTAAGGTCAGGAGTTCGAGACCAGCCCAGACAACATGGTGAAACCCTGTCTCTAGCAAAAATACACCAATCAGTCGGGTGTAGGGTGCGCCTGTAATCCCAGCTACTTGGAAGACTGAGGCAGGAGAATTGCTTGAACCTGGGAGGTGGAGGTTGCAGTGAGCTGAGATCATATCACCGCACTCCAGCCTGGGGGACAGAGCAAGACTCTGCCTCAAAAAAAAAAAAAAAAAAAAGGGAATTTACAAATACAAACCATCATGAAAAATCATCCTTTTATTACCTTGGAGATAAAGTATTCTGTGATGTATTGGTAGGAGAAGTAAGAGGACTGGACCAGTTAGCTGGTGATCGTGGTGTTGGTCTTGTCAAAGGACTCCCCATGGAACTCTGATGAAGGGAGTCAAAGAAATATTAACATATTACAGGTAAGTTCACTTAACACAAACATGAGGTTGAACCATATTAAAGGGCCATATTTACAAGTTAATATTTTAAATATTCATGTACTTATGTCTGGTTTCCAGGGGGAAAATTTCTCCCTATTTAGTAATATAACTCTTTAGTCTTTTTCTGTTCTCACCTGCTTCCTGTTCTCAAATATTATCAACATCCTTTCCCTCAAGGATTGAATATAATTTTAAAGTAGCTTCCTGTTCTGAGCTAATTTCCTTCTTCTAACCATTACTAATGCTCAAATTTTATCCCTCCTTGACTTTGCTTTACACCAAGCGAGTTAAATCTGGTCATACTAATACATTTATTCTTAAGATATGATAAAATAATCCCTACTCCCTTTAAAAAGATGACTGACTCTGGTTCAGAAGAAATTGTTTTAGGATTACTTTTAACCCTCCTCAGACTTTAAGCCTGCCATCAGTGTATCTCTTTTATTTGCTATCAAATGTCTTTCTTTTTAATGCTTTAGTTCAATTCTTTAGGCATATAATGTAAATTATTACATACGAGTAAAATATATATGTATACACATAAATATACATATTTCAATGTTTCATTTACTCAGAACTTACTTCTTCAAAACAAATTCCTGCACATCCAAGTATAAACGGACTGACAAACCTGCGATCATTTAATGTGACCACACTTCTTAAAGCACTACCTCCTTCGAATCTTATTTGCTAACCCTGGAGTAAGTCATCCCTGTTAGTCCTCAAACAAGAATTGGTTCATCTAAAGAGCATGTCCTGATTCTAATGGCTTCCAGCTGGTGCTCTCATCTATGTTTTGCTCACATTTTGCTCTTCTTGTTCATACCTGGCCACTGTTTACCACCATCCTAATGTACACAAATTATAATATTATATAAACAGGACAGGCATAGGGATTCTTCCAAGACAATATTTAATTCTGCTCAGGAAATGCTGCCAAATAAAGATGCAAAAATTATATATTAAGGATCAAGTTTACCTCGTATAAAAGAAAGCAATTATTGTTAAATCAACCATCACATTATATAACAGCCAAGAAAATAAGTAAGAATTACCTGGGTTCCATTGCCAGTGTTTCGAAGGTGATTATGAAGAAGCTTCGTAGCACCATCCTGAAAAGTTTTTGGTAAAGCTCCTAATAACATTGTAAACTCTGGGGTATTGAGTTCAAATAATGAAATCAGTACTGACTGTGCTGCCTAAAAAACAAAGGCATACAGTAGATGAATATATTTTTGTTACTCAAACGAGACCATTTTCTTCCCCTACATTGCTGTTCAATAGCATGAAGCTTGACCATCTTTCCCAAAAAGGAAAAGGAAGATATTCTTACTTGCTTTCAAACTGTTTTGCTGGAAGGAAAAAAAAAAAATTAACCTACCAGTTTTTTTGAAGGTAAGAAGGGAATATGAAAAGCGTAACAAATGTTACCTAATAGACAACGGAAAAGTTAACCATGGCGGTTTCCAGGGTTACTCTGTTACATACTACTACAGTATTTTAGTTTTTCCAATAAACGATTACAAGGAGAAATAATATCTAATCTTCTCACAAGCAGTTAACATAACAACTCTACAATTTGAAGCTAAAGTATGTTCTGTGGAAATGGGAACAAAATACAGCTTACTCATATCAGTTAAGAAAAGTTATACAATTCTTTTCTGCTTCTGAAGTAATCAACTGCATTACTAAAAGCCAAACTTTGAAATTCAAATTATATACTTAATTAAGGAGAAACTCAAATCATTTATGATCACATGACTTGTATCCAAATCTGCACACTTCATTTTGGACCTTTCTGAACCCACTCTATAAAAATACACCTGAATATAAAACACTAAGGGGAATGGTTAAATTGTTATATTGGAACGATGGAATACTATACAACACAATCTTGGAAGATGATATAGCTCTCAATGTAGAAATTGAGAAAGGTCTATTATACACTGTTGAAGAAAAACTATAAGACTGCTCTAACAGGCCAGGTGCAATGGCTCACACCTGTAATCCCAGCACTTTGGGAGGCAAAGGCAGGTGGATCACTTGAGGTCAGGAGTTTGAGACCAGTCTGGCTAACATGATGAAACCTCATCTCTGCTAAAAATACAAAAATTAGCTGGGTGTGGTGGTGTGTGCTTGTAATCCCAGCTACTTGGGAGGCTGAGGCCAGAGGATCTCTTGAACCTGGGAAGTGGAAGCTGCAGTGAGCAGAGATCGTGCCACTGCACTCCAGCCTGGGAGACAGACTGAGACTTTATCTCAAAAGGGAAGGAAAAAAAAAAAAAAAAAAAAGGAGTGCTATAATATGAGCACATTTTGTTAAAAACAAAAAAGTATAAGTTGTGTGGGTATATACTCTGGGTATCTAACATGTTAATAGTGCTTAAATAAAGCTATTAATATTTGCAGTTCGAAAACAAAAGTTACGATCTCATACTTTTATTGGAACCACCACATTGAATGGACCACAAGTAAACTTGAGCAAATGAACTAGTAAGTGTTAATATATACTTTATTCCATCTAGTTTACTTTGGTTTGGAGATTCAGCTTTATTTCCCCTGTAGGGACAGACATCCCAATTGCTCCCAAATCCTTTACCAATGAGTATATCCTTTCCTCATGACTTGAAGTGACACTTGTATAATGAACTAATCTCCTATATAAACCTAAGTGTCTCTGGACCTTCCTTCATGTTCCATTGATCTATTTCTCTATTTCTGTACTAACACCACATGACATAAAATACATAGCGTTAGTGTATTTTGATCGTATCGTTCCTTTCTTGTGGTTTAAATTTCCTAATGTCATATTTGTTTTACTAGATATATTTCATATTTCTTTTTTGTAGAAATACAAATTTCTATTTGTAGTCTTTCTATCAAAGTAATACATATATACAGATTTTTAAAAACCAGTTTTAGAAAAGGTTTTATAAATCTCAATTCCATTGTTCAGCTCTCCAGAGTTCCCTTTTGTAATGCTTGCTTTTACAAATAGTTAGGATTCATAGGTTTATAAAATTATTTCTTCATTGATCAGCTTGAGACATTTTCTAGTGATTTCCTACAACAGATGAGGACTTAGGTTCCTTTCAGTATCAGCTCTACCTTTTCTTCTTTCTTCTCTCTTATACTAGTCCATTTTTGTCACATCAGACAGCATAATCTTTAAAAACATAAATCATTTTACTCCGTGACTTAAAAATGTGCCAATAATTTCTATAGTCACATCAGTATTCTTGTTCTTGGAATATCACAAAATTGAAATTTTGATGAAATTCAACTTATCTGTTTTTCCATTTGTTGCCTAAGCTTCTGATACCATATCAAAGGATCCACTGACAAATCCGAGTTCATAAAGATTTATTCCTGTTTTAAGTGTTTTATTTTCCTGTGTCTATTGAGATGATTACGTGGTTTTTGTATTTTTACTATTGATATGGTATATTACATTAATAGATTTTTGGATGTTAATCTAACCTTACATTCCTGGGATAAACCCCTCTTGGTCATTGATATGGTTTGGCTCTGTGTCCCCACCCAAATCTCATCTTGAATTATACTCCCATAATTCCCACGTGTTGGAGGGACCCCGTGGGAGACAACTGAATCATGGGGGTGGTTTCCGCCACACTGTTCTTGTGGTAGTGAATAAGTCTCACGAATCTGATGATTTGATAAGGGGAAACCCATTTCACTTGGCTCATTCTCTCTCTCTTTGCCTGCTGACATCCACGTAAGACATTATTTGCTCCTCCTTGGCTTCTGCCATGATTGTGAGGCTTCCCGAGTCCCATGAAACTAAGTACAACTAAACGTTTCTTTTGTAAATTGCCCAGTCTCAAATATGTCTTTATCAGCAGCATGAAAACGTACTAACAGAGTCATGGTATATAATTCTTTTATATATGTTGCTAAATTTGGCTTGCCAGCATTTTGTTGAAGATTAAGGCATTCATATTCATAAAGAGATGCTGGTCTGCAGTGTTTTTTTGATGTGTGATGTCTCTGTCTAGTTTTGGTATCAGAATAAAACTGGTCTCACAGAATACACTGGGAAGTATTCCTTCCTCTTCTGCTTGTTTGGAAGACTGTGTGAAGAATTGCTATTAATTGTTTGGTGGAATTTACCACCAATGAAGCCATCTGAGCCTGGGCTTTTCTTCCTGCAATTTTATTTTATGTTTTTTTTTTTTTTTTTGAGATGGGGTGCTGCTCTGTCACTCGGGCTGGAGTGCAGTGGTGTGATCACAGTTCACTGCAGCGTCGACCTCCCGGATTCGAATGATCCTCCTACCCCAGCCTCCCGAGTAGCTGGGACTACAGACGTATGCCACCACACTCAATTAAATTTTTGTATAGACAAGGTTTCACCATGTTACCCAGGCTAGTCTCTTCTGGGTTCGGGCAATCCACCTGCCTCAGCCTCCCAAAGTGCTGGGATTACAGGTGTGAGCCACCGTGCCTGGCCTGTGCATAGTTTTTGAATACTGGATCAATTTCCTGTTATAGTTCTATTCATACTATCTACTTCTTCTTGAGTCAGTTTTGGTAGTTTGTATCTTTCTAGGAATTTGTTCATTTCACCTAAGATTTTTTTGTAAGCTCAGTAGTCATATTAAAATAATTTTTAAGTCTTTAAATCAAATACATATTTACAGATTTTAAAAAACAGTTTTAGAAATTATATATATATATATTTTTTTCTTTTTTTGAGACAGGGTCTCGTTCTGTTGCCCAGGCTGGAGTGCAGTGGTGCGATCTCGGCTCACTGCAACCTCTGCCTCCTGGGTTCAGGCCATTCTCCCGCCTCAGTCTCCTGAGTAGCTGGGAGTAAAGGCGTGTGCCACCATACCCAGCTAATTTTTTGTATTTTTAGTAGAGACAGGGTTTCACCATGTTATCCGGGATGGTCTTGCTCTCCTGACCTCATGATCCACCTGCCTCGGCTTCCCAAAGTGCTGGAATTACAGGCATGAGCCACTGTGCCTGACCATCATTTTATAAATCTTAATTCCCTTTTTCAGCTTTCCAGAGTCCCCTTTTGTAATGCTTGTTTTTACTGATAGGATTGACAGGCTTATACAATTATTTCTTCACTATCAGCTTGAGACATTTTCTAGTGATTTCCTACTACAATAGATAACGACTACGGTTTCATTTTTTTTTTGAGTTGGGAGTCTCACTATCATCCAGGCTGGAGTGCAGCAGCACGATCATAGCTCACTGCACCCTTGAACTCCTTGGCTCAAGTGATCTTCCTGCTTCAGTCTTTTGAGTATCTAGGACTAAAGGCAGGCACCACCATACCCACCTAATTTTGAATTTTTTTGCATAGATGAGGTCATATTGCTCAGGCTGGTCTCGGACTCCCAGCCTCAAGTGATCCTCCCACCTTGGGATTACAGGTGTGAGCCACCACACACCCAGGTGTTAGGATTACAGGTGTGAGCCACCACACCCAGTACATTTATAATTCTGGTAATTTGAATGTTTTCTCTTTTTACCCTGATACGTTTAGCTAAAGGTTTGTCAATTTCGTTGATCTTTCCAAAGAACCAGCTTTTGGTTTCACTGGTTTTCCCAGTCTCTATTTCATTAACTTTTGCTTTTATCTTGATTATATCCTCCCTTTTGCTATCTTCAGGTTTAGTATGCTTTTCTTTTTCCAGTGTGTTACGGTGGTGAATTGGATTACTGATTTTACTCATTTGAGAGCTATCTTTTTATTGTAGGCATTAAGAGTGACAAATTTCCCTAGAACCACTGCTTTAGCTTTAGCCCATACATTTTGGTATGCCATGTCCTCATTTTCATTCATCTCAATGTATTTCTCAGTGTATTTTCTTATTTCTCTTTTGATTTCCTCTTCGGCCCACTGATTACTTAAGAGTGAGCTGTCTGTCGATTTTCCAAACTCCTTTCTATTATTGACTCTAATTTCATTCTATTGTGGTCAGAGAACATACTGTGTATTAGTTCTAGCATTTTAATCTATTGAGATTTGTTTCATGGCCTAGCATGCAGAATGTTCCAAGTGTACTTGAGAAGAATATTCTTCTGTTGTTGGGTGCAGTGCTCGTCACTGGAAATAAAGATCACAAAAAATGTATATTCTGTGTACTTTTTTTTTTTTTTTAGATAGGGTCTCACTCTGTCACCCAGGCTGGAGTGCAGTGGCACGATCTTTCTCACTGCATCCTCGACCTCCTGGGCTCAAGTGATCCTCCCACCTTAGCCTCCCAGGTAGCTAGGGCTACAGGTGCATGCCATTGCACCCACTTTTTAATATTTTTTAGTAGAGAAAGGGTTTTGCCATGTTGCTCTGGCTGGTCTCAAGCTCCTGAGCTCAGACAATCCCCCTGCCTCAGCCTACCAGTGTTGAGATTACAGGCATGAGCCAACTGCGTACGGCCTATGTGTACTCCTTTTGCAGCGAATGTCGATGGAAATGATTCACCAGAAAAGAAAGTAAATAGAAGTAAATACAAGATGCAAGAAACAGGCTGGGTGCAGTGGCTCACGTCTGTAATCCCAGCACTTTGGGAGGCCGAGGTGGGCAGATCACTTGAGGACAGGAGTTTGAGACCAGCTTGGTCCAATATGGTGAAACCCCATCTCTATTAAAAATACAAAAATTAGCTGGGTGTGGTGGTGGGTGCCTGTAATCCCAGCTACTCAGGAGGCTGAGGCATGAGAATCACTTGAATTGGAAGGTGGAGGTTGCAGTGAGCCAATATCATGCCACTGCACTCCAGCCTAGGTGAAAAAGCGAGACTCTGTCTCAAAAAAAAAAAAAAAAAAAAAAAAAAAAAAAAAAAAAAAAAAAAAAGTAAACAGGGATGAAGGTAAGTCTCAGGAAGATGCTCAAGAGAAATTCCAGGCAGACGTGTGTGCAGCAGGCCTGGGGAGAAACATGTCAAAACTGGAGAAAACAACAGAATGTCTAGGAAGGAGCTCTCTAGAAAATAAAATAAGTTTAATCTATGTTTTTGAGCATGTGAAAAATAATAGCCATACACGTATAGCAGAGATGTTGAAAATATTATGAAACTTAAAAAAAAAAAAAAATTGGCAAATGAAAAAGCAAGGCAAATTATCAACTCCAGGACAAATAACGTTTCTATAAGAAAGAAAGCAGTCGCAAATCACTTGGTATAGAAGTAAATACCTGCATAGTCAAATGTAAATCTTTTCTACTGATAACTAGTAATTGATTCATAAGTATTTTATGAATACCTTAGAAAGGATACAGAAAGTATGAGAAAGCTAAGTCCTCACTTATCAAGATAGATGGATATACCTAATGTCTACATTTATCAATAGATAAAAAAAAGTCTAAAAATTGATAAATCAAACAATAGTGTAAGCTCTTATTTGAAATGTATAGGTAAATGCAAGGGGAATGATTTGAAATATTCTGAATGGTTATAAAATTAGAGTGAGAATCGTTGTAAGGGCAGCTACTTTTGATTCTAGGTTTGAAAATTACACTCACATTAATTGGGTAAAATTTAAAACAATTTTAAAGATTTTTTTAAAAAGCTCTTCATAACTCACTGCTAACTGCTAAGGTGCTGAAAATATTAGCTTACTTCACTGGCAATCCACAATAACTGACTTGCTTTCCCAATTTATCTTCTAAACCTCATATTAAAACATACCTTCCGAACATCAGAACTTTTGGGTTCTGTTGTCCAAGTGATGACCCGAGACACTGCTAGGCGAGTTTCACTGGAATTTACAAAATCTCCTGGATCCATCTGTTTGGCCAGAGTTTCTATGTATTTAAGGATAGCAACCTTCACCTGCAGAGGAAAGCACAAAGAGAAAGGACAGAAAGATGGTTATTGTGAGACACTAGAGAACATTTCAAAAATAATCAGGTGATGATGATGATTATTTTTTTATATACGGAAAGGGTCTTACTATGTTGGCCAGGCTGGTCTTGAGCTCCTGGCCTCAAGCAATCCTCCCAGCTCCGCCTCCCAAAGAGCTGGGATTACAGGCATGAGCCATCATGCCCAGCCATGTGATACAATCACCTACCTACCTGAGGTACAAGTATATGACAGTGTTGATGACTTTTGTTTTTCACACACAATCAGAACTTCGAGGTCCCAGGTGTTTCATTCCCAAGGTTTGAACAACTGCTGAAGACTATCTTGACAAGATTATAAACATTTCCTTAAATCAGCCCTCAGAGCTTATGGCTGACTCTTGGCCAGCCTCACAGGGAGCTAGTCTTTATTAACTCTGTAATTTTGTTTTTGGGAAAATGAACCAAAGTGTTTTTAAAAAAAGGTATGGCAAATCAAGGTAGCAATCAAGGTGCGCAATATAGTTGTTTTTGTTGTTGTTAAACACAGACTCACATAATGAGATGAGGTTCCTTAGTGAGTCTACCAGTTGTTAGACCTGCCTTCCAAAAGAACTGTCACAAAAATGAGTTACACAAGTACCACTGAAGAAAAGACAACACCTCTGTGGATAAAAATGTTCTGTGTAGGTTCTTTTTTATATAGATATATAGAGATATATATATATATTTTTTGAGACAGAGTCTCACCCTGTTGCCCAGGCTGGAGTGCAATGGTACGATCTTGGCTCACTGCAACCTCCGCCTCCTGGGTTCAAACAGCTCTCCTGCCTCAGCCTCCCGAGTAGCTGGGATTACAGGCGCTACACCCAGCTAATTTTTTGTATTTTTAGCAGAGACGAGGTTTCACCATGTTGGCCATGCTGGTCTCGAACTCCTGACCTCATGATCTGCCCACCTCAGTCTCCCGAAGTGCTGGGATTACAGGCATGAGCCATCGTGCCCGGCCTATTCTCCCAGTAATTCTTGATGTGTAGGTGCACGGAAGGCAGATGTTTGAAATATATGTATCTGTGGAATGGCTATAATTGAGCTAATTAATAAATGCATTACTTCATATACTTATTTTTTTTGTGGTGAGAACACTTAAAATCTATTCTCTTGGCAATTTTCTTTTTATAAATTCAATTTTAAAGTTTTATATATTTAATGTGTACAAGTTTTGATATACATATACATAGTGAAATGTTTCTTATAGTCAAGCAAATCAATGAATCCATTATCTCAGTTACCCCTTTTGTGTGTGTAGCAAGAGCACCTAAAATCTACTCTTTTAGCAAAAATCTCACATATAACACAATATTATGAACTGTGGTCTTCACGTTGTCTGTTAGATCTCTAGACTTATTCATCCTATAGATCTGCAACTATGTACACTTTGACCTACAGCTCCCCATTCCATATCCCCTCATTAGCAATTTTCAAGTATACAATACATTGTTATTAACTAAAGTCACCATGTTCTACCTGGGCACTTAAGAAACAGCACATGACACAGTACACAGTCCTTGGATACAGCAAGGATGCTGAACACATATTAAATGCTAATTTGCTGACTTAGCATAACGAAGGTTTAAATGTATGATTGAAACTTGAGAAGAAATTGTCAAATTTAAAGGTAATATGTTTTTCTATGTTTTTTCTTCCCTTAGTATTGATTTTAATGTCATTTTTGCCACTCAGGCGAAATAAGGTCTCTGGGAAGTGCCATACTGAATAAATTCACGGGAGTAAAATATTAAAATAAGGTTCTGACACGTGTACATTTTTCCCTTCCTCCTTCCAGTTAAAAAAAGAGATCAAATTACATTTTTCTTTCATAACGAATTTTAAGAAGTATTTATAACTCTACACAGTCAACAAAAGCAAAAATAGACAAATGAGATTACATCAAACTAAAAAGCTTCTGCACAGCAAAGGAAACAATCAACAGAGTGAAGAGACAACTACAAAATGGGAGAAAATATTGTACTGTAAACCATACATCTGATAAGCGGTTAACATTCAAAATATATAAGAAATTCACATGACTCAACAGCAAGAAAACAAATAAACTGTTTAGAAAATGGGCAAAGGATCCGAATAGACATTTCTCAAAGAAAGACATACAAATGGCCAACAGGTATATGGAAAAATGATCAATATCAGTATTCATCAGGGAAAGGCAAACTAATACCACATTTGAGATATTCACCTCACACTTGTTAGAATGACTGTTATCAAAAAGATGAAAGATAAGTGTTGGTGATGATGTGGAGAAAATGAAACTCTTCCACAATGCTGGTGGAAATGTAAATTAGTACTGCCATTATGGAAAATAATATGGAGGTTCCTCAAAAAATTAGAAATAGAACAACCATATGATCTAGCATTCCATAGTGGGTATATACCCAAAGGACATGAAATCACAATGTGGAAGTGACATCTGCACTTCCATGTTCACTGCAGCATTACTCATAATACCAAGATATGGAATCAGCCAGGCACAGTGGCTCACGCCTGTAATCCCAGCACTTTGGGAGGCCGAGGCAGGCGGATCACCTAATGTCAGGAGGTCAAGGCCAGCCAGGCCAACGTGGTAAAACCTTGTCTATACTAAAAATACAAAAATTAGCTGGGCGTGGTGGTGGGCACCTGTAAACCCAGCTACTCGGGAGGCTGAGGCAGGAGATCGCTTGAACCTGGGAGGCGGAGTTGCAGTGAACTGAGGTCACACCACTGCACTCCAGCCTGGGCAACAGGAGCGAAACTCTGCCTCAGGGAAAAAAAAAAAGTAATCAATGTAAGTGTCTATCAATGGCTGAAAAGATAATGAAACTGTGGTATATATATACACAATGGAATACTAGTCAGCCTTATAAAGGAAATTCTGTTGTTTGTGATAACGAAGATAAACCTGGAGGACAATATGTTAAATGAAATAAGCCAGACATAGATAAATACTGTATGATCTCATTTACAAGCAGCATGTAAAAAAAAGTCAAATTTATAGAAACAGAGAGTAAAATGGAGGGTAGGGGACTGGAGAGATGTTGGTCAAAAGGCACAGCATTTTAGTTAGACAGGAGTAATAGGTTTAAGAGAGATGATTTCTCCATCAGCCAAGAAGATGTTGGTGTAGAGGTTGACATAGATATCAAGGACAGCAACTACCATGGCTCCCAGTGCTATGATGAAATCTCAGATGCACGGTCATCTGGCCAAATGTCTGCAATTTCATATTGTGGGAGCATTCATTGTATCCCTGGGGGTAGCAGCTCTTTATAAGTTTGCTGTAGCTAAACCAGGAAAGAAGGCACATGAAGATTTCTATGGAAATTATGATTCCATGAAAGATTTTGAGGAGATGAGAAAGGCTGGTATCTTACAGGGTGCAAAGGGATTATGGAATATAAAGAATTTCTTCAGGCTGAATGACCTAGAAGTTTGTAACTAACTTGTGTTTCTGAACTATGAATTATGAATATGTGGGGTAAGAAACAGTTTCTCTTGATAAATAATCAGCAACAACAAAAAGAGACCTGTACATCATGGTGACTATAGTTAAGAACAATATATGGTATATTTGAAAATTGATAAAAGAGTGAATTTTGTGTTCTCGTCACAAAAAAAGATACACTTATGAGGTAATACAAATGTTAAATAACTTGATTTAGCCATTCCACAATGTATACATATATCAAAACATGTTATATGCCATAAATATATAGAATTTTTACTTGTCAATTAAAAGGCATATTTGTAACTTTAAATAAATTTATTGAAAAAACCAAAAGTTAACCTATTAGCCATCAGAAATGTGTAGTAGACAGGAAAAGAGATTTCTGGTTAGTTTTAAAGTACCAGGCACAATTAAATTATGATAGCACATAATATTGGTTTTTTTTTTTTTTTTTTTTTTGAGATAAGGTCTCACTCTATCACCCAGGATGGAGTGCAGTGGTGTGATCATAGCTCACTGCAGCCTCAAACTCTTGGGTGCCAGTGATGCTCCCACCTCAGCCTCCCGAGTAGCTGAGATCACAGGCATGCACCACCACGTCCAGCTAATTAAAAAAATTTTTTTGTAGAGATGGGGTTTTGCCACGTTGCCCAGGCTAGTCTCGAACTCCTGGGCTCTAGTGATCTGCCCACCTTGGCCTCCCATAGCGTTGGGATTACAGGTAAAAGCCACCATTCCCTGGTCAATATTCTGAATTCCTGAAGCAATGTCATCCTCTCTCAGTGTTAATAGATGGAAGATGACTATGTTAAATCAAAAAACGAACATCAATATATTTTGTTTATAATTTGCCACCATCAATAACTGAATATATTTATTAACACTATGTGAGCTTCAATTAATGCAGTGCCTTGGCAATTTATCGTCATGCAAAATTTTACAAGGGTTTCACAGAAAGTATGTGTTTACTATACTAACAAGCAACATAACCACAATACATATATAATCATTTGAACATGTATATTTATCAGGATATTTTACTAGATTATACCTAGTTTATAATTTTAACACAGCAAACATGCATTCTTTTTCAGAGAAGGAAAAACAATCTAGCTGCTAAGGGATGTGAAATTCTTTAACTTGTTTGTGAAACCCAGAAAAAGAGGTCAGCAAAAATTACATTTATCTTTAAAGTATTACTAATTCAAATAAAATCACTTTGTATTGCCATTTCCCCCCATTTCTTCCTCTTGACATGTAATCACATTACACTCGAAAAGAGATGTAAAATTTTATATAAACGTCCATCATTTGTCTGAAAGATAAATAAAAAAATTTTCTAGATCTGATACTCAAGTTACATGTGGTTTTCTATAATCTGTTAAAACTTTTTATACATAATCCTGTCACCCACTTGAAAGCTGGTTTTATTTTTGGCATAAGGTATGGCTCCAATATAACTTTTCCCTGCTATTCTAAACACTGATGTAAGAGTTGAAAAGTGATTTTCTTTTTTTTCTGAGATAGAGTCTCACTCTGTCATCCAGGCTAGAGGGCAGTGGCAAAGACTCGGCTCACTGCAACTTCCACCTCCTGGGTTCAAGCGATTCTCCTGCCTCAGCCTCTCGAGTAACTGGCATTACAGGTGCATGCCACCACGCCCGGCTAACTTTTTGTATTTTTAGTAGAGACGTGGTTTCACCATGTTGGCCAGCCTGGTCACGAACTCCTGACCTCAGATGATCCACCTATCTCGGCCTCCCAAAGTGCTGGGATCACATGCCTGAGCCACCATGCCCAGCCAAAAAGTGATTTTCCTTCATGGATTTGCTAATATATCTATTATCTATATTAAATACGTATTTATAAATAACTTAGGCTTTTAGAGAAACAATCTTGTGATTCCAGTTTCCAGCATAATATTTTCCAATAGGAAAGTTAATTTTAATTTGTGCATATCTCATTTTAATCTTTGCTTTGTCTTTCTCTTCAAGTCTCCTGCAACTTATTCTCCCTCTGAACTCAACTATCAACACCTTATTTTTATTTATTTGCTTTTCTGAGACCGAGTCTCACTCTGTCTCCCAAGCTAGAAAGCAGTGGCATGATTTTGGCTCACTGCAACCTCCACCTCCTGGGTTTGAGCGATGTCTCCTGCCTCAGCCTCCCAAGTAGCTGGGACTACAGGCGCCCAACATCACCCCTGGTAAATTTTTGTATTTTCAGTAGAGACAGGGTTTCTCCATGTTGGCCAGGCTGGTCTCAAACTCCTGACCTCAAGTGATCCACCTGCCTCAGCCTCCCAAAGTGCTGGGAGTACAGGTGTGAGCCACTGTGTCCAGCCTCACTCTTACTTCTTAAGCTGGTTTAGACCTTCATTTGCACTGGCCCATGAAACATCTCTATATACATTTTCTACTTCTTTTCTTTCTTTACTTTTTTTTTTTTTTTTTTAAACAGACAGGGTCTCACGGCTGGAGTGCAGTGGCGTGATTAGAGCTCACCGTAACCTCAACTCCTGGGTTCATGCAATCCTCTTGCCTCACCTCCTGAGTAGCTAGGACTATGGGCATGAACTACCACACCTAGTTAACTCTACATACATTTCAGTAGCACCTGAACACCACTACAGGTACCTATATCATAACTTTTATTACTGTTTAGAGTTTAGTATATATTATAGTTAATAATGATAAAATTACAAACTTTATATTCCCAGGAACACCTAGCACAATGCCTTGGTCATTTTCAGTTCAAAAATATCTATTAATAATATCAAGTAAATTACTCTTCTGCAAGTCCCTTTTCAAAATCAAACAGATGAAACCTCTTTCCCCTAGCAGCTCTAAGAAAACAACATTATATTGAGTGTAAGTTGTGAAAGGAAAATAAAATGGCCTATGCCAAAGGGAAAAGTTAGGCTTGGGAACTGAGTCATCCAAAAAACTGCCTCCCATTTGTTCATACACAGACAGCTGCAAGACAGAAGGCTACACAGCTCTTCAGGTGGTCTCCCTTATGCTGACAATGTAAATTAACAGTTTATCTTCACAGGTAGAGGACAAAGATGAGACTAGAAATCATCCCCCACTCACCCAGAGACAAACACATATTTGACTTCTTCCTCTACTCTATGTTTACTTTCTCTTATGTAAGATCAGATTTACTGAACACGAGATGAATGCCTGACTGTTCCTCTTTCCCCTTCTGCTGGCTCTTTCTCTTTTAAATATTAAAGTCCTCAAAGCCCTCTCTGGAAGAAAGCACAGGCCACAGACCCTACTGTAGCTTGTATCTCTTTCTCCTGGATGCATCCTCGATCTTGCCAAACTCTAAATTGATTGAGACTTGTCTCAGACACTTTTCGGTTTACAAAGTCAACCCTGATAAGAAACATAATTGTGATTCTGAGGCACAATTGCATTCAGAAACTTAAGGGAAAAATCAATCCTGGGCAGTAATGCTTGTAGAAATATGTTTCGTGCAGGATAGAGCAGAAAAATAAAGGACTTGTATAAGTACATATGCTTGTTATTTCCCTGACTTTAATCTCATTTAATAAAACTCACTAAAAAAACCTTTTAGTAAAGAATTCATGAGCGATTCTTGTACATTAATTTTTTTCTTTTATGTAAAATTTAATCATCATTTTAAATCACAAATTGGAATCCACTTAGTTTTCACATTAACTGGAAAATGTGTGTATGTAACAAATGAGAAAGTTAATTATAATTCCAAATGTTATGCATACATCAGAAAAAAACTTACTATTTCAGTTAAGGATAACTGAAGAAAGGGACTGAGGTTAAATTTAAAAATTTGTGTTTAGTTAATACATAGGCAAAACTGACATTTTGCCTAAAATACCTGTTAAAATGCCTGACACTTAAAAAAAAAAAAAAGTAATGGGAAATCACAAACATAAAATTAGGTAAGAGCGTTTGCATTACCAGCTTAGGGTTAGATGGCAATACTGTGATGCCTTCCAAATGTGTATTACCATTAAGTTTCTCCAAAAGACTCAGAGTCTGGCATTGCATTTAAATAACATTTGAAATCAAATATGTGCATGCGTAAAAGGCTTACAAAGGTTAGTAGTTGAATATAGATGCAAACACTGCAGAGAGTTAAGAAAAGAAATAATGCAAATGAAAACAAAAACAATAAAACCTTGGAGCTCCAAAAAGAGTGAAGCTGGTCCCGAAGTGCTGGCTTGACTGTCTGAAAGTTTATAAAAACAAAACCCACTGATTGAACAGCTTCTCATGTGACAGAAGTACAAATATCAACATAACTTTATTAATAAATATTTCAATTCCTTATAATGTCTTCAAAAGATCTCAAATTTTTACCTTTAAGCTTGGTGTTTGGGTCTGATCAACTGTAAATCTCATTAGAATATTGAACTGAAGATCATTTGGAAAAGATTCTCTGAACGAGAACAAAGCAAAGCAAAACAAAAATTTAGTTAGCAAGTACGCATGTAATAGCAAAAGACTATGCTTAATACCAAACATAATGTCATCCAAAAAACATCCATGAAGTAGTATCTGCATGTGGTATAAACCATCTGGTATAGTATACAATAAATGCATCCTCAGAAGAATATGAACATCTGAATTTGTACTCAGTACTGGGTTAAAAAGCAACACCACAGGCTGGGCGCAATGGCTCATGCTTGTATTCCTAGCACTTTGGGAGGCTGAGGTGGGCGGATCACCTGAGGTCGGGAGTTCGAGACCAGCCTGACCAACATGGAGAAACCCAGTCTCTACTAAAAATACAAAATTAGCCAGGCATAGTGGCACATGCCTGTAATCCCAGCTACTCTGGAGGCTGAGGCAGAAGAATCACTTGAACCCGGGAGGCAGAGGTTGTGGTGAGCTAAGATTCCGCCATTGTACTCCAGCCCGGGCAACAAGAGCAAAACTCCGTCCCAAACAAACAAACAAAAAGCAACACTAGAGTAAATAATAGCCTATCTTGCCTCAACTATATATTTAATCAGAAAAATGTATTCAGCAAAAAGCTTAACATTCTCAGAAATGTTTCTCTACACCTAAAATCTGAATTCTGACTCACCTCAACCTAGTAAACAGATATTTGAAATAAGTGTTTCTTATTTCAACAATCTACACAAGAAAGTAGAACTGTAACATTGGTTCAAAACCTTCTGAAAAGAGATTTAGAATATTTAAATGCATAATAAAACATTGTTTAAATACACAGAAAATACTTTTTATAGTAGACTAAATAAAATCTTCAATCTTCAACCTTACTTTGCTGATACCTTTTTTTTAACTTTTTCTTTTGAGACAGTCTCGCTCTGTTGCCCAGGCTGGAGTGCAGTGGCACAATCTCAGCTCACTGCAACCTCCACCTCCCGGGTTCAAGCGATTCTCCTGCCTCAGCCTCCCGAGTAGCTGAGCTTACAGATGCCTGCCACCACACCTGGCTAATTTTTGTATTTTTAGTAGAGATACGGTTTCACCATTTTGACCAGGCTGGTCTCAGACTCCTGACCTCAAGTAAGCTGCCTGCCTCAACCTCCCAAACTGCTGGGATTACAGGTGTGAGCCACCATGCCCAGCTGCTGATATATCAATTAAGATAAAACACCACCTTGAACTAGTCAACCAATATTAATACAATTTTTATAAAAGAAATGCAGGGCTTGATCCAAGGAAAAATGTTGTGTTAAATATACGATATGAGTGGGCATAATTAACAATCTTCAAATGGAGTCCATGCAATCTAAATTGTTCAAAGGGACTCAGAAATCTGAACTATTAATATGGGGGTTAGATATTCCTAGTTATTATCAGGTTAACTTGAAATATATGAAAAAAATATTACCTTGTAACATCAAGGGCTTTCTGAACTTTTGCCTGAACAGATCCAAGCAAATCAGCACCCATTTTTTTTAGTAGTTGTGTCAGCAGTACAAACAACCAATCTTGAAGATCATCTTTGTGGACTTGTATGAAATCCACTAGCGTTTCCAAAAACATGCTGAATACCTACAGTTGATAAAGGGGAGAGGTAGGGAGAAAAAAAGAGGAAATATTGACCTCTATGTTCAATTCAAAATGAATATAGAAAGGAACACAGGAATCAGAGGCACAGCGTTTGGCAGCCAAGCGGAAAAACAATCTCTCTTGCTTTTCATTGGACTCTGTGATACAAGAGTACATTTGAACTGTTATCCAACTTCTGCAGAAGTTCGACAATTAGCTATTCCATGCAGCATCACTTGGTAAAGAAAGTTTGGCCATAATGGCTGGCACACCTAATATTATCAATGATGCCACAGCTTAAACTGGTTAAAGTGAAATCTGTTTTCTATAAAATGTAGGGGAAAAAGGTATAGTTTCACTAACTCTCAGTTCTTCCGAAGAGTGGTACTGAGTAAATGAGAAGACTACAATGACCTTAAAGTATAAAATTTACCTGGCATAATAGACTAATTAGAGAATCCTCAGACTTCTCAAAATGACAACTGTCACAAATAATTTGGTACGGGATATATTATTTATTAAAACTGCCTCAATGGTAATTTTAAATGATTCAACTGTAACTCCATCTAAAATAAAATAAATCCAAGATCAATGTCTACATCTAAATTTTAGTGATTTTTAAAAAGTCCAAGACGGCATACTATTAGTCTCCATATCCATTTATGGGTTTTTTACTTACTTCCAATATTAATCTATTGGTTTACACACTTTTATAAGGTAGAAAAAAATTATAGTGAAGGAAACATAATGTTTATAAGTGATGCAACTCATTAAAATACTTGTGAAAAGTGACCTTTATCAAGGCTGTATCTCTTTATAAGATAGTCAATACCATACTGGAAAATTAGTTTCTAGGTAAAGAAGAAAAAACTCTGTCAGCCATAATGTATTACTGGACAAATTATAATAAACATTTTAATCACAGATTAAAAACTATGGGTTAAAAAAATCTTAAAATTATTAACTTTTCAAGTTAATCTCAAAAAGTAAATATGTTAACTTGAGAACTAAGGGTTTTGCTCTCAATGTATATTTTATTTCTTGAATTCCCATTATACAGTTATAGATGAACTCTTGTTTTTTTCTCTTTAGAAATGAAGGATTTTCTTTATCAGAATTGTAATTAAGCTTCACCATTTAAATTGAGTTAAAAATAAAAATATACTTTAGCTATTTGCTTAAGACGCACTATACTGGTAATAGTAGAAAGTATAATTAAATTTTTGAGTATTCTCTGGTCCCCAGGCAGTGTGTGCTTCAACAATGTTCCTACTCAGTGTGGATTCCTTTAACTCTTGTCCCACCCCTACCCCAACAATCCCCCAAGAACTTGGATTCTCTTAGATTCCAAACTTGGCCAACTGCTTCATTAAACTGTCTCTGGCCTTCTCCTGAGGGCCACGAATACTGTCAAGGAACTTCACTAGACCTAGTCTATGACAAATGCATGTAACTAATCTGGTACTCATTCTTATTGTTACCTAGCAAATCTGTTCAGTGATGTGCTGGCTTCAGTTTGCACCTGTCTAGACAGTCAACTGTTAAATATTCAGGAATTTTGTGAAGTGGATAGGGGTATTCACATCTCAGAAATGGGCAAACATTACAAATCAGAGCTTCCTGGCTCTCCCCCAAAGCTCATTTACTAGGACACCATTATCCTATTCTTTGTTTCACTTTCACCCTTGTTTCAACACTTGTCTACGCTCCTGAAGATTACAACCTCAAGCTTTCCTATATGAAAATCCATTCTGAAAATCACAGACATTAGAATGCCTAGGTCAACCCTCCTATTTTATGGATGAGGAAACAGGGAACCAGAGAATTACATGACCTGCCCAATGTTTCACAGATGGTTAATAGCTAGGCCAGGACTTAAAGCTAGGTCACTTGGTTTTCAGTTGTGCTCATCCACTCTATTACCAGATGACCTAACTTATCTTCTTTATTGTCATTCAACATGAAATTCTCCATTGACTCTTCCCTCAATTTGATTTCCTCTATACCTATCCTTCTAATCATCATTTCTTCAAGAAAGAAGTGATTTTCTTCATTTTAAGGCTAATCTTTCTACTTTATATTCTTGCTCTCTAAAACATGGTCTCCTCTATCTTTACTCTTTTATTCTCTACCTAAATCCTTTGCTTACAGATGCAGAAGTCATCCCAATAAATTATCTCTCTGTTTCCATCCTATTGCTCCCACCAATTACTTTCTAATCGTGATGTATAACAGCGTCTTCATTAAGTTTAGTATGTTTGGCCGTTCTGTAACTTGACACGGCTTTCCTTTTACTTCCCTTCTTTCTGTTTGCCAGGAATTCTCCTTTTGCATGTCTTCATCCTGATTCTCTTTTTATCATAAGTGTGACCTACTTGACATAGTCTCTCTGATCTATCCCATGAGGCCTTTTTCCTGACCTCCTCCAAATCTGTTTACCATACCATCACTAAAGGCACCAAACCTTTCCGACCTCAGATCTGGATTTCTGTAGTAGCCTGACTTTAGTTTTATATTTTCTGTATGCCAGGGGTCAGTAAACCATTTTTGTAACAGGCCAGATAGTAAATATCCTAGGGCTTTGCAAGCCATATGGTCTCTATCGCAACTACTCAACTTTGCCATTTAGCACAGCCACTGACACCACATAAACAAATAAGCATGGCTGTGTGCCAATATAACTTTATTCACAAAAACAGTAAGCAGGAAAGATATGGCTTGCAGGCTGTAGTTTGTCAACTCATGTTTGTCATCATCAGATTGTGGTATCACTCTTTGGATGGAAACAAAATCCTTTAATGTCCCTTCACTGTCTATAAGATAATGTCTAAAATACTTAGACAAGTTTCTAACTCCAAATTGATCTTGGGCTATCTGGAAACATAAACTCTTTATCCTTGAACCCATCTCATATATCCAACCCTTTTTCTTCAATGCAAGGGAAGACCTTCCCTTTATTCGAGCCAAGATTAACTTCTTATTTCCCATAAACTTTCTAGCATCTCCCACTTCTTTTTCTGGACTCAGGCTAGCTACTTCCAATAAGCCTTTATTCTCACACTGACATATCCGAAGCTCATGTTCTGTTAAGATCCATTTTCTTCAAGAAGACGTCTCTGAGTTTCCTAAGTAGAAATATTTTTTGGTTATATAAAACGTGAGTAGCTAAATAAAAATGTGGACATGTTAGTTGCTGTACTCTACATAAGAAATTGTACTATTTTAAAAATTTTGTTACTGCTTTTGAGACAGTCTTACTCTATCACCCAGTCTGCAGTGTACTGGCACGATCATGGCATACTGCAGCCTAAAACCTCTGGGCTCGAGCGATCTTCCCACCTCAGCCTCCTCCGTAGGTAGGGCTACAGGCATGCACCATCATGTACAGTTAATTTTTTTAGTTTTGTACAGATGGGGTCTACCTTTGTTGCCCAGGTTGGTCTCAAACTCCCAGCCTTAAGCAATCCTCTCACCTCAGTCTCCCAAAGTGCTAGGATTACAGATGTGAGCCATGTGCCCAGCCTGTACTATTATTTTTCAAAAATGCTTATATCCTATCAATGGTACTTAGTAAATGATCATATGCACACACATACACAGGTGACCCTTGAACCACATGCTTTTAAACTGTGTGGGTCCACTTATACGTGGATTTTCTTCCACCTCTGCCACCCCTGAGATAGCAACACCAACCCCTCCTCTTCCTCCTTAGCCTACTCAAGGTGAAGATGACAATAATGAAGATCTTTATGGTGATCCATTCCACCTAATAATTAGTAAGTAAATATATTTTCTCTTCCTTGTAATTTTAGTAACATTTTATTTTCTTTCTGAGACGGAGTCTCACTCTATTGCCCAGGGTGGAGTGCACTGGTGCGATCTCGGCTCACTGCAACCTCCGCTTCCCAGGTTCAAGTGATTCTCCTGCCTCCGCCTTCTGTATAGGTGGGATTACAAGTCAGCGCCACCACGCCTGGCTAATTTTTTTGTATTTTTAGTAGAGATAGGGTTTCAGCATGTTGGCCAGGCTGGTCTCAAACTCCTGAGCCCAGGTATCTGCCCACCTCAGCCTCCCAAAGTGCTGGGATTACAGGCATGAGCCTGGCTAACAACATTTTATTTTCTCTAGTTTACTTTATTATAAGAACACAGTATATAGGCCAGGCGTGGTGGCTCATGCCTGTAACCCAGAACTTTGGGAGGCCGAGTCATGTGGCTCACTTGAGGTCGGGAGTTCGAGACCAGCCTGGCCAACATTGAGAAACCCCATCTCTACTACAATACAAAATTAGCTGGGCGTGGTGGGCGCATGCCTGTAATCCCCTCTATGCAGGAGAATTGCTTGAACCTAGGAGGCAGAGGTTGTGGTGAGTTGAGATTGAGCCACTGCATTTCAGCCTAGGCGAAAGAGCAAGACTCCGTCTCAAAAAAAAAGAAAAAAAAATGCACTGTATGATACATATAATAAATAAAATATATGTTAATTGACTATGTTATTGGTAAGGTTTCTGGTCAACACTAGGCTAGCAGTAGTTATGTTTTGGGGAGTTAAAAATTATATATAGATTTTCGATTCCACAGAGGTCTGTGTCCCTCTCTAAGTCAATTGTACTTACATATAGATACATATACACTGATCTATCTTCATTCATTATCCATATCTAAAATTTGTTGAAAATTATATACAAAATTTCTTACTTGATTGCCCTAACAAAAAGGGTTCTTGTCAGATGTTAATATGCTCCCATTTCCTTATCTATGATTAAAGAACAAAGTGGAAAATGGCTATGCTAATATAATACTAGTGATTCACATTTTCTTTCAGAAGACAAAGATGAGAATTACTATTCCATAATCCACTGTTTGCTTTTATGGAATGACATTAATAAAATGTCAATTGTGGGAAGGTAGGGGTTAAATTTTTTAAAAAAATTGTGAAACTTCAGAATCATTTTTAAATAATTCAATGGAAGCAATCTTCAACAGAATCAATTTATTATCCCACATATCTCATAAATATAATTTGTTGGAAAAGAATTAAAATACTCAAGCTATTACAATTGAGGCAGACTTTTCTTTAACTCCCTTATATCTTAGGTGTGCCAGTCATCAAATATAGAACAGAAGAACATAATCAAATTAGATTAATTAGTAGATTAAAAAGCATATCTCCAAACAGAATGATAGTTTGCATAACTGCAAATAGCATTTCGTGGATTGCAAAGGTTCCAACACTGCATGAACTCTTCGGGAGAGAAAACAGAGAAAAAGGGTTAATTTCACAGTCATGCAGTAAAGTTAGGTTTCCAACAAATATTGAACCAACTTACTCTCTATTGAGAGTTCCAACACAGGGGACAGCATGCAAAAAGAAAAAAAGAAAAAAAAGAAAAACACACAAATTAGTCGCCATCAATGCAAAGTTCCTGTATGGAAGAAAAACACTTAGAAAATAAAAGTGACAAATGTTTTCAAAGTTTTATGATAAACTCAAAATAGTTTTTAAAACAAGACTTAAATGAATAGTATGGGAGAAGAACATATGATTTTGTTTCTCTTGCACTTCCTTGCCAGGAAAATTAAGAAAACTAAAGACAAAAACTCTTCTTTTCCAGACCCTACCAATCCTTGAGGTTAAACATCTGAAAAGAATCCAAGAATAATAGATACATAGTCCCACTTCTGAACAGGGCCAACATTTGGTTCCAAAGCATAGTCTATAGAATTTTTTCCTTTCTTTTCTCTTTTTTTCCTCCTCTCAGAAGCAATACTTTCACAAGTTAAAATATTTCCGTGAAGGCTTGAAACAATAACTATTGATTGGAAGTAATAAAAGTAACTATACTACTTTTTATTTTCCCTAGGTAAGATGTGTGTTATGGTCTCCTGATCCCAAGACTGCAGGCAGCTGAGCTTCCTAGAATGCTTGTCAGGAGATTCAACTGTGCCTCATTTTAGTAGCCACAGATTGAATTCCTACCCTTGCTGTCCAAGACTTAAGAGGATGATTCAAGAGGTAGTGTTACAAATACCATAAAATGTCAATTCAAAGCAAGCACCACAGTGAAGGCAGTTCTTTCCAGATTCAAGTGCCAAAAATATATGGGATAGCTTTTGGCAACTGATACTGCTTGCATCTGATGGGCAAAAAATGGATCCAGAGCAGTCAAAATAAACATCTACCTCAAACTCCTTAATTTAAAAAATTTATTTGATCTCTAAAAAACTTATATATGGTACTTGGTATGTTCTAAGGGTTTACATATATTGACTCATTTAATCATCATCACAATCTTATGAGGTGGATATTACTATTAACTGTTTTACAGATTAATAATTAATAATTAAAGTACATACTGCTAATAAACTGGAGGTAGAATTTGAACCCAAGCAATCTAGCTTCACTATCCATACTTGTTATTTTAAATTCTCCCTCACACTGCTTAAGTAATGCTTCCAAAGGTACGTCTTATCTACTCAGTGACTGCTCACTGCCCTCAAGATAATGTCCAAAGCCTACCATTTTGCAGTACAACATTTGTTGTACTACTTCACTTATAAAAAATACTAAAAGGCTTTAAAATAACACATTTGCTGATTTATGGTCTAAATTATTGTCTTACAGATACTGTGGTTAATTACTTGTTTCTATACGGGCGTATGAAGTAAAAAGTTCATTTATCAAATTACAGACATCAAATAATTTCAGCTTTCCAAGGGTATAGGTTCCTGAACATATGTTTCTATTTTAGTGTCAATGACAAAGAGTTGATCATATACGACAGGGGTCAGCAAAGTATGGCCTGCAAGCTATTTCTAATTCTTAAAAAGTTTTTACAGTCATTTAAAAAATGATTTTAAAAGCAATCAAAAGGGTATTTAGTGACACATGAAAATTATATAAACACGGCCAGGCATGATGGCTCACGCCTGTCATCACAGCACTTTGGGGGGACAAGATGGGCTTGTCACCTCAGATCACTTGAGGCCACGAGTTCAAGACCAGCTTGGCCAACATGGCGAGAACCCGTCTCTACTAAAAATACAAAGAATTAGCAGAGTGTGGTGGCACATGACTGTAAGCCCAGCTACTTGGAAGGCTGAGGCATGAGAATCGCTTGAACCCAGGAGGCGGAAGCAGTGAGCCAAGATCATGCCACTGTACTCCAGCCTGGGTGACAGAAAGAGATCTTGTATCAAAAAAAAAAAAAAAAATTACACACACACACACACATATACCCTCACATTCTAATGTTCATAAATAAGGTTTTATTGCAACCCAACACACACATTTGTTTATTGCCTGTTAAGGGTGCCTTTGTGCTAAAATGGCATAATTGAGTAGCTGGGACAGAGACCATTATGGTCTGCAAAGCTACATTATTTACAGAAAATAGTGGCTGAGTCCGATATAGAAAAAGATTGCATTCAGAAAAAAGATACCAAAAAAAGTTGCTTGATTCTGAAGATGGAACTGTTGGTCTAAAAATACATTAAAAAGGGAGGGGTGCAGCTATTTTTAAAATATCAGAATACAATGCAAAAACTCAAAATTTTTTTTTTTTTTTTTGAGACGGAGTCTTGCTCTGCCGCCCAGGCTGGAGTACAGTGGCCGGATCTCAGCTCACTGCAAGCTCCGCCTCCCGGGTTCACGCCATTCTCCTGCCTCAGCCTCCCAAGTAGCTGGGACTACAGGCGCCTGCCACCTCGCCCGGCTAGTTTTTTGTATTTTTAGTAGAGACGGGGTTTCACCGTGTTAGCCAGGATGGTCTCGATCTCCTGACCTCGTGATCCGCCCATCGCAGCCTCCCAAAGTGCTGGGATTACAGGCTTGAGCCACCGCGCCCGGCCTAAAAACTCAAACATTTTTAACTCAGCACAGGATGGTGACATGTCTAGTCTATCCTTAATGAATTACATTATTGACAGAGTCTCTGATGGACAATCAATGGCCATACAAAAATATGAAAATCTTCCCATTACATTTGTCTTCACAGAATTGACTAAAAAACAAAAACCAAAATCAAATAAACAAACCAGATGGGTAGATAAGAATTTTATGTTGCTTTAAAGCCCTAAGAAGAGAAATTTGATGCAATCCTAGGGAAAATAGTAGTTGGTTCTCCACATGTATTAAGAGAGGCCAAACATTTGTGCTCAGTTAAGTTTCTATACCAGTGTTAAACTCAGCTTTCCTATTTGATCTTTTAAAAAAATGTTTGTCTTTATCACTATATATCACGGCATCCAACCAAACTGCATTATTGCCTTAAAAGAAAGTCAAAAACTGTGACTTCAAGAAATAATCTAGCTTTTGTCTTATATCTTCCAGTAGCAGGAATTACTGAAGATGCTTAATAACTATGTATTTCAAAGTTGAATAGACTATTAATTTAAATGTTTAATAGAACAAGTTAACCCAAATAACTGTCTTGTCCTTCAGCTTATATTGCCAACTAAAAATATCAACAGTTAATTTGTTCAGGATTTATAGAAATTTTTACATTAAAGACTTACAGCTGTAATCAGTGATAGCAATATCAATATAGAATGGTACAGTTACCTGCATGTTCAATTATAAGTTACAAACTTTACCAAATGTATTTTCTTCTTTGTCTTTTAATAGGATATTTTATCCTTAAATAAAAAAAACTTCTGATAGAATAATCTTTGAAAATATTGTTTTAAAGTATAAGCAATTTATTTAGATAAGTATATCCCCCACTGGATTTAAATCATTAGCTGGATTTTAGTTTATGTATAAAGTGGATTTCATTATCTTTAAGTAGTGTTGTAAGTAATGAAAATACCAAAAATAGAAAAAAAAATGAGGAAATGAGATGTGCAACAATAAAGTGAAGACAATAAAAAGAGTAAAGTGAAATTCATTAATATTTTTCTTATCATTTCCTTGCCATATTTCCCTCTCACTTAGGTTAGAAAGTCTCCTGTAGACATTTGGTATCCTAAGGGAAGATTTCACCATTGTCAAACATACTGCTGGAAACGGAATATGTGACCACAGTTTTATAACAGCACTATGCATCCAGGTAAACCAAAATTTCACAGTACACATGCAGATTACATATAAGTACTTAAATAAATATGTTTTAATCAACATTAAAAATGAACAAAGTTCTGAAAATTTTTACAGACTATTTCAATGTAAGAAATGTCTCTTATATTACCACCAAACTATGGCTGGAACCACATTTTGTGCCTTTGTGTTAATTAATGACAATTATTTTCTACAAAATTATTATTTCAAAATTGAAATATATTTACATCAATGCTGTAATTAATCACAGACAAAAACAAAATGTTAAAAACTTTTTCAACTTACCCCAATTATGTCTTTTACAAACACTAAAACAGTCTTAGTAACACAAAATACACCAACTTGACTAAATTACATGAGTTGTAACTGTATCCCCTTTAATTTTCAGTCTTAGACCATCTATCATTGGAGAAGCTCAAAAAGTTACCAGAGATTAATTTCTAAATTATGTATGATACCAAACAATTTTAATTATGTTTGAAAATATTACTGCCATTTTGGGACAATAAAATAAGAATGGCCTACAGTGTTTCTACTTTGACAATATACAAATGATACCCTATAGAAATAAATAATCTTAAATACTAAAACATACCTTGCCATGAGGGTCAGCAAACATTCTTGTGAAAATTTCACATAATCTTTTCAGTTCAACTCGACTGCCAAAATAATACAGCGGTTAATTAATATCTTGATGTAGCAAGAAGTCATATAAAAGTAACTTTACACATAATTTTCTTAAAAAAAAAAAAAAGGTTAGGTTGGGCATGGTGGCTTACACCTATAATCCTAGCATTTTGGGAGGCCGAGGTGAGAGGATCGCTTGAGCCCAGGAGTTCAAGACCAGCCTGGGCAAAATGGCAAGACCCTGTCTCTATAAATTAAACAACAACAACAACAAACAAACAGTTGGGAATGGTCGGGCACAGTGGTTCAAGTCTGTAATCCCAGCACTTTGGAAGGCTGAGGTGGGCAGATCACTGGAGGTCAGGAGTTTGAGACTAGCCTGGCCAACGTGGTGAAACCCTGTCTCTACTAAAAATACAAAAAAGTAGCTGTGCTGGGCATGGTGGCACACGCCTATAATCCCAGCTACTCGGGAGGCTGAGGCAGAAGAACTGCTTGAACCTGTGAGGCAGAGGTTGCACTGAGCTGAGATTGCACCACTGTACGCCAGCCCGGGTGACAGGGTTAGTCTCTGTCTCAAGAAAAAAAAAAATCAGCTGGGTGTGGTGGTGCACGCCTGTAGTCCCAGCTACTTGGGAGGCTGAAACGAGAGGACTGTTTGAGCCCATGAATTCAAGGCAGCAGTGAACAATGATTGTGCCACTGCACTCCATCCTGGGTGACAAAGCGAGATCTCATCTCTTAAAAATCAGAAACGACGACGAAATCATTAAAAAACATCAGCCCTAAAAATTGAGAAATTTGTGGGATTTCCTAGTCAGGGCTAAATACAAAGTTACTAAACACAACAATTACTCTGTTGTAGCCCACACTATCTTAAAGGTTAAAAGTTAAGAAGAGAAATATAATTATCCTTCATTAATGGGATGAAGGATATTTTACATGTGGCATTCCCAATACATGAATTTTATCATTTTAAGTGTTAAGATGTTTTCTTAAATATTGCTACTGATGGGATAAAATCATTCTAAACTATGCTTACTCCCTTGCCATTTAAAATGATCAACACATGAATTCTATCCTTTTAGGTGTTAAGACATTTTCTTAAATGTTGCTGCTTACGGGCTAAAATCATTCTAAACTATGCCTACTCCCTTGTCATTTAAAATGGCATGCTGAATCTAATATTAACTTAATCTTGATGGGCTGGGGACAATATTATGATGGTGGATTGCAGTGATTCATGACGTGTGATATGCACACATGAAAATATATTTAGGTAATACAGAAACATTTATTTTAAATTATATAGTTCTAATATGTCCTAAAACAAATACACAGGAAGTAAGTACATCAAACTCTTATTTCACAGGTATCAAGTCAGGAAGTAACCCTGTACATTCCACCATGCTTAACCCTATGAAATATCTGAAGCTAGGTTCTCAAAGGGGTCAACTACAGGTTTAAAACATCACACAGACAAGGACAATAAAGCAAGCAGGGGGAAAAAAACATGATAATGCCATTAGCAAAGGAAACAAAACCCCAAATCCAAAATATTAACAAATATCTGTTCTTAAAGAAATTCCTTCCAATTCAACTTTGTATTACACTAAAATTCACATATTACACACACACTAAGAATATATCTTCATTTCCAAATAAGCATAAACATTCTTCCTCTCATTGAAAAACTTACCAGGAATAAATTTTAATAACCAGTTTTATTATTTAATATTAAAAGTAATAACATTTTAAATTTAATTTCTATGTGTGAATAAAAAGTTTCCTTTTAAAATGTTTTGTTAAATAGAACAATTGCTGGGCACGGTGGCTCACGCTTGTAATCCAGCTCTTTGGGAGGCCGAGGAGGGCGGATCACGAGGTCAGGAGATCGAGACCATCCTGGCTAACACGGTGAAACTCCGTCTCCACTAAAAAAACACAAAAAATTAGCCGGGCCTGGTGGCGGGCACCTGTAGTCCCAGCTACTCAGGAGGCTGAGGCAGGAGAATGACATGAACCCAGGAGATGGAGCTTGCAGTGAGCCGAGATTGTGCCACTGCACTCCAGTCTGGCTCCATCTCAAAAAAACAAAACAAAACAAAACAAAACAACCAATTTTTTTTTTTTTTTAAGTAAATGAAGGTATAGATGGTCCTCAAAGACTGAAGCTTTGGAAAAGCACTTTGATGCAACCATATGAATTCAGGACAAGTCTGTTTCTATACCAATATCTCTAAAGTATTATAGAAACAAAGTCAAATGAGACAAAACATCTCACCTTAGTGTTCTCTGATTTTTCAATAAGTTCTGCAGACCTAGGAGGCCTTCCTTCCTTTCTGACCAATTGGAACTAGCACATCTATTGAGGACTTCTGCCACATCTTCCGTCTGCCTCATATATGTAGGAATACTACCATTTCGAGAACTATAGGAGCGTTCTGAACAAGCACTAGATGCATCGCTGTTGGCGTCATCATCTGAATGCATTCCATATGATTCATATCTTCTTCGAGCTGGTTTTTTCTGTTATACATCAAGAATCTCATTAGCAGTGGCCAGAAGAATACATTGGCATTTTATAATTTCTACTGACCACAAAAGGATTGATTTTTGTTTTAAAATCAATGCAAAGCATGCTCCTAATCATTGTAATAACAGAATGTCAGTATTCAGTTTTTCTTCAGAAAACAAGTTTTAGAAGTTAGTAGAAGGTAAAACATTCTTTAACTATGGAAAGTGGTAGAAGCAGAATAAGACTATATGGAAGTTCAGGTATGTAAAGTAGGAAGTGCTAAAAAATTGGGTTTTTCCTTTCCCCTTTTCATGAAAAACCAAGAACTACTAGAATGTAAATGAACAGAACTTGTATTAGAAATTTGAGTTGGTAAGAAGAAAATATTACCTTTTTAAAGAAAGAGTATAATGGATCAGAAAAATATTTTCCATGTATAAAGTTCCATTTTTTTTCTGTCTTTCTATCTTTTCTTTATTCTCCTTTAACCTCCATTACCACTTCTCTTGCCACTATTCCTTCCCTTGTACCCAACCCTCATGTCTCCTAGAGAAATAAAATACAAAGAATGATGAAAAACTATTTAGTCTACTATTATGTTAAGGAGGCGAACTCCTTGAGAGCCCTCTATGCTTTTCTCAATGTATCTATATTGTTTACTTCGATAAATATAAGAAAGCATATTCAGACTCCTTCGATTTCTTTACATCTAAATCTTATTTAATATATGTAACTGCCAGTTATACTTTGCATATTTCAAGTGAAATGAGAAAGAATAAATAGTTTATTTAAGATTTCCTTAAAAGAGTTGAAAACAAATCTTTATGTTATCTGATATTTGAATTTTGGTTGATGAGTGGTGAAGATATCTATGAAACAGATTAAACACAATAATTTAAAATAGTTCCAGGTGGCAGTAGTTATCCAAAGTCTAAAATCTAAAAAAACACGATTTAATTCAAAATAGTTTTAAGAGATGTTTCCATCACTAAAAACCTTATATTGATTTGGAGACACTAGCTTAATTTTGAATGGTAATGTTTCTTGTGTTAAGCTCTAGGATCACTTTTGTTATAGATGTCAGTGTGAATGACCTCATTTCATTTGTATGACGTAGTCAAGCTGAAAGAATGAGCACCTCCAGAGGACATTATTCAAGCAGTATCTCTCTTTTGATAACCATATTTACAGAAAAATAGATGTATGTCTAAGGATTTCACTTCTACTTTAATTTTTAATAGAAGACCATCATTTGTTAAATTGATGAAAGAAAAAAAAGTTATCGTATCATAAGATGTCAGAAAATAGCAATGTCTATACCTTAGTCCGTATGTCTCCTAAGAGCTGAGAGCAGTAAATTTTTAAAGAGAAAAATTGAAAATAATGAAGAACATTTTGCTAATCAGCACAGTGAAGTAGGCATTAACAATGCCTATGATCAGAAACATTACGTTTTTTTCACACATAGGTACAAAGAACTGCTTATTAGCAGGCTCTATCTTTAATCTTGTCAATATTCTTTAGTTCAAAGAGAAATAGTGATGCTACAAAAATATTCCCATAACCAGTTTTCTCAAAGAAACCTAAATGTTCTTCCTATTTGGATCCTTTTGTCATTTCCAAAGTTAAATGTATTTCTGATCTTCTCCAGCACAAATTAGGCTTACTAGCTGGAAAGTTTTTTCCTTAAAATTGGTAGTTGTAAGTGGAACTTCTGTGCTCTGCAAGTAATGGAAGTACTCAGAATCAGATTACTGGGAGTCAAACTTTAGCCTTGGTAGTTAAACATTCCTCATATAATTCAAACACACCATCTCAGTGTTCTAAGTAATAGTTCAAGAATAAGCCAATCAATTCATAACATTTACGTAAGTAGAATTTAACTGGTAAATTATCCAATTGAAAAAATCCAGAAAACATGATTTGAGATACAGGGATGAGGAATAGCAAATCAAAAACATCTGATTAATTCAATATCATCAGAACAAGATGTGATCAATATATCCCATGCTGAGGAGAACAAAGTCCCTACTTAATTATATTAATTTATAAAAAATAATCAAGTGGCTGAAGTAACGGGAAATATTCAGCACAGTGAAATGGTTAGCACAGAACTACACATGTGATATTCAATAAATTATAGCTATTACCAATGAATATTTTTAAAAACTTGCCTTTTCAAATATATGTGGCAAACATTGTATTATATCAACACTAGCTAAGATGGGATCTACAATTTTAGGAAACTTTTTTTTTTTTTAATTTCAAAACAAAGATGAGATCTCTTATAAGTTCTGGGTAAGAAACTGAGTAAATGTTTCTCAAACATAGGATTAGTATTATAATTTGAAAGAGGAAGTGATACTGAATTAACTTGGGAAATTAGCCAAAGCCAATTATATACATTTTAAAAAATGCTACTTCTTACATAATTTTAAGTGAGAAAAACAACAATGATATATGTATAGTAATCTTCTGACAAGCTATCATGGATCTGTAAAGCATGTTTTTAAATCTCACTGTTTAATGTGTCAGACATAAAGAATCATGAATTATATCTAACTATAAGATATAATTGTATCTTAATTATAATTTGCCTTGAGGTTGTACTTTTAGTTCAAAAAACACAGATAAAAGACTAAACAAAATCCAACACCAAAGTAAAATAATCCCTAAATACCAAAGTTTAAGCTAGACTTGAAATTACATGCTTTTAAGTGTACATATTTATATAATTTATCTCCCTTACCTTAAGTATACTACAGTGTATAAAACATATTACCATATTAAAGACATCTATATTTATATTTCTGATAGCCCATCAGTAATTTCGGCCGTGGTAGTATACAATTCTGATTAATAAAGATCAACAATTATATTGTTCTGCTTTTTACACTGTCCACATTTTATCTTTAGATTTAATCACTGATTTTTCCCCATCCCCTTTCCCATATGGATAGACCGGCTTACTCATTCAATAGTTTCATAATTGGAACATTTATAATGATAAGAAAATGGAGAAGAGTACCAAGGCATCTGCTACCGCCTCCTCCACATCAGAACCTGTGTTCAGGACTCGCATGGCACTAACAGAAGACGACAGTCGACTTGATTGGCTGATCCCGTAACCCGGACCTAAATCATGAAAAGAAGGAAAACAGAATTAAAGGAGTCATAAATATAACAGGGTCAGGTTGGGAGACTTTAAGACCCTTACAGGGGAAGGAAAAAAAACCAATGGGGCAAAGCATTTTAAAAGCAATATTGTATTTTCTGGGCACATTTAGTTTTTGGCAAAATAAAAGGGTAAAGGCAATTAAAATTACTGACAATGTGTGAAAAATAAAGAACAGTCACTATTTCGCTATTTATTTATACCACAAAGTAGAAGAAAGCACGGCTGGCAGACTAAGGGCTTGCAAGTCTATAGCCCTGTAATCCAGCTCTATCAGTTCAGGCAAATATCATCCATATGGTTGAATCACAGAGTAACCCAGAACAAAGATCAATCCTCAACCAATAGTGGTTAGGGAGATCCATGAAGACACACGAGAATTTTACAAGGAAAATAAGCTCTAATTATTATCTCCTCTCCTTCAAGATAAGTTGGTTTTATTCTACAACTAAGAGATATCTATTTGATAGCTGTTAAGTGTCTACTATGTGCCCAACATTCTGAGGTATACAGAGACAAACCAGAGATGAATTCTCCCCCTCAACTGCTTTCTATACTATCATTTACAATTAAAACACTTCATCCACCATTTTGGTTTTTTTTTTTTTTTTAAAAACACAACATACAAAGATGAGAACATAAAAACAATTCTATATTTAAAAATGACACAACAGGTTATACAAAAAATGTCCATATACCAGTAAGAAAAATGCTCAATACAGTTGCTAAAGGGGAAAATGTTACTTGGGAGAAAAGAAAAAAAAAGTTTATTCTCCAACAAATTAAATTTAAATAATAAAAACAAATCAATTTTAAAACATGAATATTATTTAGTGGAAACTGAAAAGGATGAAAACTGAGATGAATGCCAGATGATAGTGAAAATGTACTCATCCTTCACCTGAGGCCCCATACACATCGGGGGCGTAGAGGGCACCAGTTGATCTGGAATGGTGTCTGGAGGCTGGAATAACAGGACCATACAAACCTCATCTATTACCACAGAAACAAGGAATAGTGGCAGCACTACTGTCAGGCAAGGAGAGTTAGTTAACACTGGTGTTATTCTTTATAGTCAATGATCAGAGTATTGCCAAATCGGGCAATGGAACATTAGCATTGCACCATCATTCCTGACACAAAAACACATCTTACACCTAAGTGGACAGACAGGCCTACAGGAGACAAAAGAAGTATTCAAATGGAAGGAAATGTTGAAGGTACAAGCATGAAACAAAAATACGAACATTATAGTTTAAAAAAAAAACCACCATGGTAACTAGTAACTAATAAAATCTTATCTCCTTTAATTCTGACATCCAATGAGGCAGTAAATTAGTATTCAATTTTACAGATGGTGCTATGGTCTAACTGACTGACCTTCTCCAACACCCGATTCAATCATATGTAGAAATCTTAATCCTCAAGGTGATGGTATTAGGAGATAGGTGGGGCCTTTGGGAGCCAATTTGCCCTCATGATTGGGATTAGTGCCCTTATAAAAGAGACCCCAGAAAGCTAGCTAGCTCCTTCTAACATTTGGGAACACAATGAGAAGGCATCATCTGTGAACAAAGGAATGAGTCCTCACCAGACACCAAATTTGCTGGTTCTTTAATCTTAGATTTCCTAGTCTCCCAAACCATGCCAAATAAATTTCTGTCATTTAAAAGCACATAATCTATGTTATTTTGTTACAGTAGCCTGAACAAACTAAGAAAGATGAGAAAGCTAAAGCCTAGAGAGAGATTAATTAATTTGATTATAGCCACACTACTAGTGATACACTTCAGTATCTGTACTTTCAATTCCTCTGCCCTTAAACAGTAGATGTACCATCTTTAATTTACATTGTTCAAAAGTTAAAACACCTCATTTTGTTAACATTAACATTTTCCATAATGGTTCACATAACACCAATTCTGCATTCAGTAGATTATTTAAATATCAAGGCACATTTGAATATAAAAACATACTAATAATTTAACCAAATGTAGAAATTTGTGACATATCTCCCTAATACTGCTCTAAAATCTAAATTTAGTATATTTTGCATAACACCATAAAGTCAACTTTTCTTACATATAGAAATGAATAGCCAAAAAATGCATTTTGATATTTAATAAAAGATATTACTTTAACTTAGAAAGTTATTCTTCCCCAGATATATTACAGCAGTTAAAATGTCACTCTTTTGTTTGCTACAGGACAGCCTTAACAAACAGGAAGACTGAAAGAAAGGACGATTAAACTAAATCCTAAATGTTTAGTTAGCCCTGAAAGGTGACTGGTATCATTAGAAAAATAAACTAAAATACATTGTTAGTTTTAATTTTACCTAACAGAAATAATTTCTAAAATGATGAGGAAGAGCTGAACAAGTTTAGAAATGTCTAGTGGACAAAAATCTTTGAAACACTTTACAGAATCAATAGTTATCTGTGACTGAAGATAATAGGTGTCTGAAATTAAGTAAGCCTTTAAAATATCTTGGTTCCAGAAATAAAGGTGCAAGTTCCAGAGAAGTTAAACTTTGCTTGGCTCTGATTTATTTCTGATGCTTTAGGGCCCTCACACTAAACTTGTGATTCATCTGCTGAGTAACAATATCCAGTCACGAGCAACAAGGGGATTCCACCAAAGAAACAAATAATAGAAAGGACCAAAGAATGTAGGCAAATGTGGCAGAGAATGGGAATAGCAAAAACAACTTAATGTCTGGGAATGCTACCTTTCATCCCTGCAAAACAAACAGGGCTAATCTGCTGCCTTGCTATGCAGTACCTATATGTAAATAAAATGGCTATAAAAAAGCCAATTCTTCTAAAACTATGACTAAAAGGTTTAGTCATCTTCAGTGCAAATAGGAACTTTCATGAGAATCAGGAAAATGGTTTCCTTTAATATCAAAATTTAAGTAATTTTTAAATTGTCAAATGGAAGCTTTGAGATGAATCTAGAATATTAACGACTAGACAAAATATTTCTTTAAGAACTGGCATATTAAACCATGCTTACTTTTACAGTAATTAGTAGTGGATTATAAAGATCCTCTAATCTCTAACTATTGTACAGATTTACAAAGTCCAGAAACACATTTTGGTTTCTTCTTGGTATGTTTTCTAGTAACCTGCAATATCAACATTATATAAATGCAGGTGCCCGTACCATTAAGAAATCTGAGATCCTTGCCACTGCAGTGTAATTTAACTGTTTCTAGGGTAAGTGATTAGAGTTTCAGGGGGAAGAGGTAGAATAGTAACAGCAGCAGCAGTAGTGGTGGCAGTGATGATGATCATGATGACCACGATAGAGTGCTCATTATGAGTCAAGCACTGCCTTGAGGGAGTTTTTAATGTATTTCTCATTTATGAGTCTCCAAAACAATCCTAAGAAGTACACACTATTATTGTCCTTGTTTTACAGATGAGGAAACTCAGGCATAGAAAGGTTACGTAGCTGGGGAATGAACCCAGGCCACCTGACCCTATAACATACATTCTTAAACCACTACACATCCAACTCCACTTCCCTCCACTTCTGAAAGTGGCATGATTATTTTATACACACGCCGGATTTACTTCATTTCTTTCAATGTATATCCATGAGGATGTACCACATATATGTGTGTGGGCGCGCACATACACACATACAGACACTCTGCAGACTAACTCTATTGCATATGAACTAAAAATATCTCTGACAAAGTACCTGCCACACACAGCCTTAGTGATGTGGAACAGTTCTTTTTACTTTGGCACCTCCCCACAGAGGGAAAAGAAAGAGGGAAACTCTCTGGCACCCGGGGCTGTAACACAAACAAGGGTTGAGCATATTCCTGTGACTCTAGCTTTAATGGGGTTTTCTAGGTCAGTACAAAAATGCCTAGTATATTTGAGCCAAATGGCCTAGAGAATGAGAAATTAACCATTAGAAATTCTTGGCCAGGTGTGGTGGCTCACGCCTGTAATCCTAACACTTTGGGAGGCCGAAAGGGGTGGATCACCTGAGGTCAGGAGTTCGAGACCAGCTTGGTCCAATATGGTGAAACCCCATCTCTACTAAAAATACAAAAACTAGGTAGGTGTGGTGGTGGGTGCCTGTAATCCCAGCTACTCGGGAGGCTGAGGCAGGAGAATCACTTGAACCTGGGAGGCGGAGGCTGCAGTGAGCCAAGATTGTGCCACTGCACTCCAGCGTGGGTAAGAGAGTGAGACTCCATAGTAAAAAAAAAAAAAAAAAAGAAAATTCTATACTACCATATATATCTGAGAAAATAAGAATCCACTGGATAAGTAGAACTATGTTCTCCCTGAGCATTTCAAAGTCTGAAGAACAACCTTCTAAGTCTTACAGTAAACTACATTGTGTTAAAGAAAAAAAATCTGAAATGGCTACAGGCTTGTGCATTTAAACAAAGTACTAGTTAAAATGCTGAAGGATTATGCAGAAATTCTAAAGATTCTCAAGGTACATACACAACTATACCTCTCCAGTTATCCTAATACTGACTGTTTAAGAAATCATTTAATATTTTTATAATTGAGGTAAATATAGTATTACAATCAAGGTTATAATACAATTGGGGACAAACAAGTTTTACTGCTGTGACAAGAGCATTAGCTCATAGGAAATGACTGTTAAACTGTAAAATACTATAAAAATGTTAATCCCTACCATTAACAAGTAGTTCATATATTATTTTGTGGCATTCTTTTTAGTAACCTAAGTTAAATGATCTAAGCTGAAATGTTAACATTTCCGCTGAAAAAGACAAAAGTATTTTATCAAACTAGTCCACATTTCATTTGAGATTAAATATTTAAATATCTTTAAATTTGTAGGTTTACCTGTTAAGAAAGATCTAGACTTCAATATTCTGAAGTTTAAATCTATGTGACATTTACTTGATTATGAAGGCAATCTGTTAATACAATGACTAACATATTCATTTCAGACATGTAAATCAAGTCAAAGGAATTTCCCAAACATGTAATTCCCTTTCCTCAAAATGACAGAAAACGGGTAGAGAAAAAGATCTGTCAACAAAGAAAGCTGAATCCCAGGTATGCTGAAGTTAATCGGATAGTGATAACACAATGGATAGCAACGCATGTAACACCTGCCGGAATACATACCAAGTGGCTGAAAAGAACGAACAGGACTTGTGTCCCTGCTGCTCTCCCGACTAGCTTCCCGGCTGCATCCTTGACTCACACTTGGTCGAGGAATACGACTGCTTCGGGCTGGTGTGAAGCAACAGCAGCACAGTAAGGGAGAAAACAGAACAGAGTTTGCATCTTAAAAAATTTTGTTTTTTTCCTTCTTAAAGACTGATCAGTAACTTACATTTTTCTAAGGTTGAAAAGAAATTACTTTTGCTGAAGCATTACCAGGAATACAGTTAAATTCTTAAATATGGTCCTCTAGTTTGTATGAAATTAGAACGGCAAATAATATTTTACTAAACCAAAAATGCTGCAAATAAAAAGATTTAACATACTGTACAATATAGTACAACTTAATTTTTCTCTTTGTTCACTGAACTATAGAGGTTTCTAACACTTTTGGTATCTTAAGTTAAAATCTTGGTTTTAATAGACAGAAAAACCCTATACTTATCAAATATTAATCTAAAGTAAAACACCCATTCTTAAGTTCTTAGTTCAAGATAAAGAGGAAAAAATGCCAGGTGCAGTGACTCATTCCTGTAATTCCAGCAACATGGGTAGGTAAGGAGGGAGAACTGCTTGAGGCTGGGAGATCGAGATCAGGCTGGGAAACATAGTGAGACCTTGTCTCACTGCAAAAAAAATACAAAAATTAGCTGGGGATGGTGGCATACGCCTGTAGTCCTAGCTACTTAAGAAGATGAGGCAGGAGGATTGCTTGAGCCCAGGAGGTCCAGGCTGCAGTGAACTATGATCATTCACTGCACTCCAGACTGGGTAACAGAGCGAGACCCTGTCTCTAAAACAAACAAAAACAAAGGAGGAAAAAATAAGCCAATGCTTTCAATTCCCATTCTTTTTCTCACCTCCTCACAAATGAAAACCCCACAAATATGGAAAGAAAGAAACAATAAACAGGGGCGAAGACTGACTAAAGGTGGAGCAGAGAATTTAAAATAATGTCTGGAAAACAAAAGAAAGTGAATTAGTTAGATGAAAACTTGAGAGGCTCGTGGGCCAAATACCAGGCACAGAACAAATGAAAAGTGCTAGGAACAGTAATTCAAAGTCTGTACGCCCAAAAGAAATCTGTGCCATCTACTGAATAAAGACATTCTCAGACAAGCAAGGTTTCAAAAAGCTTGACTCTTACATACAATTTCTAAGGAATTTACTTGAGAATGTGTATGAGCAAAGCAAAAGAGCAAAGGAAGAGAAAGAGGATCCAGGAGGGAGTGATTCAAACCAGGAAAGCAGCAAATGGGAATCTCAAGAAGACAGCTGAGCAAGAGGCCTAGACGGCAACTAATCCAGAGAGTACTGAAAAGAAAGTCTGGAAAAAATAAGGAATTGCATATTTCCTTTCAGCAATACTGAAGGGAAAGTAATACTAAAGGATATGAGAAGTTCACATTACTCTTAGTCACTTTCTATATACACAGCAAATGAAAACGTGGCATAATTGTAAGTAACTGGTAGGAATATAAGAGAAAAGAATTCATCTCCTTATAACAGGAACATTCTCCTTCAAGTGGTCCCTAACATTCAGTGTACCTTTGGGAAGAAATGAGTTCACAGTACACTATGTGTCTTGGCTGCAAACAACATTCATTTACTCATAACACAGTATATGTTATTTATAGCTTTTCATCTTTTAAAGCCAACTTACGGAACAAATACATAAGACTTGCTTGTGGATACAGAAGAAAATGTATGTGTAAACTTTAATAATATAAAAATTGATAACTCTAAGAGTGGAAGGTGAAGGGAGGAAAAGTATGGAAGTTGAGATACTGATTGAGGTTGATAAAACAAGAAATAGAAATGTGAGTATTTTCTTTAAATATGAGAATATTTTTAAAGTTACATAGGTAATCTGCAAAAGACTTAAAACAATAAAAAATTATTAAAAATAAACTGGAATTATTAGGGGCTTTCTGCTCTGGAAATGACGTATCAAGCAGCAGCTATCCTAAGGACAAAGCCAGCAACATGGTTGATAAAGCAGAAAAGAAGGAAGGGAGAGTGAGAGAAAGGGAAAATAAGACAGATTCTGGGTTCATCATAGCAATGTTAATCAATCAATCCTGAAGGTTGTACAATCTTCAAACTTAAAAGAACCAATAAATCCATTTTTATTGTTTAAGCTGGCTTCAACTGTCATTTCTATCATCTGAAATTTAAAATGTCCTAATCAATACACAGAGAAAATATTAAAGTTTACTAGTATTTGAATAGGGCTGAACTATAACACGAATGTCAAATATACAAGCAATTGTGTATATATATATGTGTGTATATGTGATAAATATATTATAAAATTCCACAATAACCTTTTACTTTAAAATACTAGCTATATTTTTCAAAGCTCCTATGAATTACAGGATTTGTTTGTTTTGTTTTGGGTTTTTTTTTTTTTTTTTTGAGACAGAGTCTCTGTTGCCCAGGCTGGAGTGTAGTGGTGTGATCTTGGCTCACTGCAGCCTTCACCCTGGGTTCAAAAGATTCTCCTGCCTCAGCCACCTGAGTAGCTGGGATTACAGGCATGCAACACCATGCCTGGCTAACTTTTGTATTTTTAGTAGAGATGGCGGTGTTGGCCAGGCTGGTCTCAAACTCCTGACCTCAAGTGATCCGCCCCGCTCAGCCTCCTAAAGTGCTGGGATTACAGGCATGAGCCACTGCGCCAGGCCCTGAATTACATGTTTAAGATACCTAATTCAACTCATAACCTATTCTTCAACTGTTGAATTTTTAAGTTATTTTCTTCCAATTTGTAAGTGCCTAATTGTATTCCAAAGTCTTCAATGTTGCCAAAGCCTGAAAAAAATAAAAAAATTTTTAAAAGGGTCACATGTCTCACATAAAAAAAAAAAAAATCTTACCCACTGAAAGCCTAGATGGACTAGCCTCTCTGCTACAGCCCTGGCTCCGTGGTATCTTGCTTCTTTTTTGTGCTGAGGCTGAATTGACCAGGACTCTTTGAACACCTGAGCTCACAGTGGACAGGGCTGTTGTGGTCAGAACTCTTCCTGGAGACCCAGACCGGCTACCAGCTGAACACCAAACACATATACAAATGTTAAGATTAAACACCAAGAGAATTTGCTGAAAGGATAAAAATTCAAGAAATATTGATAATACAGATAAAACTGTGATAGTATGACAGGTTCTATGCTCAAAGGAAATAGACCGAGGAAGATTTAAATATAATTATAACCTGGAAAAAAAAAAGGTATACTACATGTATGAGCACTGAATGGTAAATCACCTAAATATACTTCGAGTTTTGGAGGTATAAGACACTATGTTTAATAAGGACAATATCATCATAATTTTTAGAACACAAATGGTATACAAGATTTCCAAAGAAATCACTTATCTGACAATCCATTTCCTATGGCTATCATGTTCTGTGTGAACAAGCTATATAGTCATATGTCACTTAGCAATGGGATACATCCTGAGAAACGTGTTGTTGGGTGATTTTATCATTGTGTGAACATCACAGTGTACTTACACAAACCTAGATGGTATAGCCTACTACAAATCTAGGCTATATGGCATATAGCTTATTGCTCCTAGGCTACAAATCCTATACAGTATGCCATTAACAATACTGTAGGCAACTGTAACACAATGGTAAATATTTGTGTATCTAAAAATATCTAAATATAGAAGGGTACAGTAAAAGTACAGTATTATAATTTTTTAAAGCTTTATTTCAAATAGTTTTTGGGGTAGAGGTGGTGTTTGGTTACATGCATAACTTCTCTAGTGGTGATTTCTGAGATTTTGGTGCACCTGTCACCTGAACAATGTACACTGTACCCAATATGTAGTCTTCTGTTCCTCACCTGCTTCCCAGTATTATAGTTTTATGGGACCACTGTCACATATGTGGTCATTGATTAAATGTGGTTATACAGAGCATGACTGTACTAAAAAAAAAAAAAAAAACCAGCAATTCTATCACTATTTTTTTGTTAAGTATATAATAATGATAAACTGTTGGCATTTTAAAATAGTTTGTCTGCTGAGATTTCTCTGAATGGGTACAGCGAAGCTATCTGTCTTACTATGACACATATTTTTAAACTTAACACAATTAAATTTCAAATGCTGACAAAAGTGGGCCAGCTGAAAAAGAAACTTGCTTTTTGCTATTTGTCTTCAAATAACAGAGCGCTCTTGGGTAGTGACATTCTGGGTTACAGAAGTTCTAAGGGTAGAAAGGGAGTAAGGGGAAAACATCAAATGAATAAGATCCTTTTCTTTCTTTTCTTGTATTTCCGTCCACTCCACCTCGAGACAGAGTCTTGCTCTGTCATCCAGGCTGGAGTGCAGTGGCGCGATCTCGGCTCACTGCAACCTCCGCCTCCCGGGTTCAAGCGATTCTCCTGCCTCAGACTCCTGAGTAGGTGGGACTACAGGCGCCTGCCATCGCGCCTGGTTAATTTTTGTATTTTTAGTAGAGACAGGATTTCACCAGGTTGGCTAGGCTGGTCTCGAACTCCTGACCTCGTGATCTGCCCGCCTTGGCCTACCAAAGTGCTGGGATTACAGGCCTGAGCCACCACGCCCGGTCTCTTTCCAAAAGAGTAATTTTCCGTTTTGGAAGGTGGACATGTGGTCAGGAACCCAGGCAGAGTTAGTAAAATCTTTTCAGAGTCTGTGCATGGGTTTAAAAAGTTTTAAAAACATGTTTTTAAACTAGAAATGCAAGGGTTAAATTTTAAGGAGATAAGCTCCTTGTCAATCAAAGCACTTTATGTCTACGTTGAATAGAAAAACGGACTAGATAAGAACTCCAAGATATAGTCTAAATGTAGATTCAGAAGAGTAATAGAAAAATTAAAGTTGCAGTTAAATTAATCTTCATGAAAGCAACCTTTTCCCTTTGTGGGCACTACTTCTACCCAGTAAGAGGGCTGTACAATTACATGATATACAGTTTTACCCAAACAGGCTTCACTTCCACAGAGACTCAAATGCCAATGGGGACAAGCACAGGATGTCAAAAAAGTGAGGGGCACTGTGTAAAGCAGGGAGTAGTAAGACGACTGATCAAGAGGGGAGTGCCTGCCCTTTCCTAGACTGAGAGGTGACTTTTTAGTTCTAGCCACCTCTGTCTTGAGGTGATAGTGGATAGGTCTTGGGAGTTTTCAAAAATGAAAGCTTTGATATTTCCAGATTTTTATCATATTCTATAGGCCAAATAATACATAAATGGAGACAGACTAGACATGGTCCATGGGCTGGCGATCTGTGATTCTTACTACAATTTTCTTGGAATGGTCTTGCTGAATACAATTTATATTCCTGCTTAATTCTTAAACTTTACCAGCATACGAAATGAAACTTATTTCCTATTAGTGATAACGATATTGTAAAACAAAGCAGTGCTTCCAATGCAATTAACAATTTACTATCTGTATAGAAGGAATTCTAAATTACTGTAAGGAAATTATTCAAGTGTATTTTAAAATAGCTCATTTGAACGTTTCATGATGTTTCAAGTGAAGAATCTTTAAATCCAGTTTCTTTCAGTTATAACCTTAAGGATACTCATATAAGGAACCTGTTTTCTCCATGCAGTGTCTAAACTAAACACACACACCAAAAACATCCAAACACCCAACATGCCACAACTCACAATGCAAGATAGGCCAATGGAATATTTTATGGGAAAACTCGCAACAATATAAAAAGTATAAATAATGAACTGAGCACATACAATATGGTATTCTATTAAAACCAATGTAAATTTGGGGGGGTGGAAGTGTTGGTAGGAGAGACTGCAGAATTTCTTGAAATGTGGGTCTATTCAGCAGATAGGAAACTTACAGTTCAGAAACAGAGTAACTTCTCTTTCTACTCTAGATTTACTGAATTTATTAAAAATTATGCAAGTGCACTCTATAAATTTAAATTCATTCCTGCCCTATCCTAGGAAATAAAATTGTCAATGTTCATTTTGCTTTAATCATTACCCTCTCCTGTGCAATACTCCTGATTCCCACCAAGAGTGTGATAATTCTAGTACCTATGACCCAGTTTGGAATTATTCATACTTAGGAAAAAATACCAAGGCTCCTTCCCCAGTAAAGAGCCGCCAACACTAATTATTTCTCTTAGGAAAACCAGAGTTGATGAAAAGTGTCATGATATATCCAAGGAATAGCATGCTACCAGAAAATACCCATATTTGCAAAACTTGACATCGAACACCTATTTTCTCTTGTGTTACCTAAAGTTTTCAAACTACCATTTTATAGTTTTTATAGCATTTCAAAGCATGACAAAAGCTCCTGTTTCTTTTGAATGTTTATATCCACAGTATGAACTTGTGACATTAAAAAAAACAAATCAAAATTCTGGTAATAAGACAAAGGCCAAAGAAAAATCACAACTGGCAATTTCTGCCCCAGTATGACTACAAATGATAGACTATGATGTTAAGAATTTCTGCTGAATAGAACCCATTCTTCATAATGAAAATAGGTGATCAAACAATAGATGCACACATAAAGTCTATAGATTCTTACCACCAATGGTATTAGCAGATTGTGATCCTGAACAAGTGTAAAGGCAGAATTAGGGTAAGGATTATAATCCATGAAGAGGAAAGGAGCAGTTTTTAAATGGATGGCAGATGGAAATAAGAAAGCTTTAGTCAGTTCTCAGAAAATTAAAAACCCTAAAGCAAAAAAAGCAAACTTTAAAAAATCCCAAAAGCACAGATGTCTTTAACAAAAGCAGTACATTTAGTAGTTTTTAAAGCTAATCAACTGAAATCAGACACTCATGTACAAAGCAGATGAAATGAGATTGCAACAGTAAATGTAAATTCTTCAGCTTTTCTACTACTGACAGTCGAAATCAAAATCATTAAATGTTTGTTTTCATTAAACATTTAATTTAAAACTACTTATAAGGAACAACTACAACACTGTACAGCTGAAGAAAAATTACATGAAAAAGCTACAAATGTCATCTTTCTTAAGATGTAACAAAAAAAACCAAAAGATGGGAGGAGAGGAGACAAAGTTTCTGACAGGCTGTACAATCATTTGTATACAACCAGCCACTACCAACAGAAAAAGAGACACAATTCTGTCATAAATACAGGTCTAGTGATCTCTCCTTTGAGTCTCCATTTATTTATTTATTTTGGTTAGCCATCAGAACACACCTGCTTTGATCTGAGAGACTTTTTTTTCCTAAGTTGTGATACAAAGGTACGGTAAGACCATGCAAGCCCTAATGAATCACTTTATGACAAAGTAAGGATGATGATCACAGTAATATTTCTGTGCAAATATATTGTAAAGAAACTTGCATACAAATTACATAATACCTTTTTTACAAAAGAATTCGGAATGGAACATATAGTCATTCAAATAAGTAAGCAAGCAAACAAACAAAAGTCCCTCCAATATAAAACCCAAATGATTTTACAGAGGGAAAGTCTTCTAATCTTAAAGTCCTATTTAGTCTAAGAAAGCCAATTACTGTGTTTTCACAATTTAGGAGAAGATGTGGAGGATTATGGAATGGGTTTCAAAGTGAAAAGCCAAATGCAAAAAATTATTCTATTTTCTAGTGAAGTGATCTTTACTTACAATGTACATGAAAAGGAGGTCTCGTAAGTATTTTTAAAAAAGCAAAAAAACCCAAAAAAACAAAAACAAAGGTCCTTGGACTCTTTGCCCTGACATCAGCCTCAGTACTGTTTCAGAAAAGAACTAATACCTCACAATTAATTTTTATCCTTAGACAATGGACACGGAAATTCCTGGTTGTTATCTTTATGCTTTAATTTTCCTAATTTCATTATTTATTTATCTGTTTACTGAAGGCACTAAGAATAACAAGGTACAGAAGTACACAAAAGCAGTCTAAAATTCAGTTGACATTTGATTAAGAATAATAATAAGGATCATCTGTAGTATTTAAAATTTTTTTAAATTTTAAAAAAATTTAAAAATGACAATTTTATTAGCTAACATATATAGTGCTTATTCAAAGCTAAGCAATATTTTATGTATATTAAATACACTACATCATTTAATCCTCACAACAATCCTATGTAGATGCTATTATCCTCTTCATTTTACAGATGAAATTATAGAAGTACAGTAACTTCAAATAACCTCAAAGAGCCAGTATTCAATCCTGGGCAGACTCCAGTGTCCATGATTTAAACCGGTATGTACTTCTCAAACTTAATTGCGATACAAATCACTTGATGATCTTGTTAAAGACTGGATTCAGTAGATCTGTAATGGCATATGAGATTGTGTATTTCTAACTAGCTCCTAGATGATGCTAATACTGGTCTGGGCAGCACATACGGAAGAACACATCTTCTAACTACTATGCTACACTGCTAAAGATTAAGTTACTCTAAAAATATACAAGATCAGGGAAGAACATGATATGATCTACTGATTTAGTTGAGATAAAAGTTTTCCTATTCGTAAATAACCTTCAAGCTGCAAACCAATTTACTTCCGCTTATTTTTAGGACTCTTCTTGAGTGCTCCAATCATTACTCTGCCTGGATTTTCTGACTTTGGAAAAAGAGAAGGATCTGGTTGGTAAGACTTGTGTAATCACTATCCTGCCCTTCAATGCCCCATTCTCTTTCCCGATTTCAAGATTCAGAAATCAGGTTAAAAACAAACAAATAGGACATCCATATTCTAATAAATCACCTAAACAATGGTAGAAAATAGTTACATTTATTTCTTTCAAAAATAGCCAAGAAGGCTGGGTGCAGTGGCTCACACCTATAATCCCAGCATTTTGGCAGGCAGAGGCAGGAACGCGGTTTGAGCCCAGGAGTTTGAGACTAGCCTGAGCAACACAGTGGGAACCCACCTCTATAAAAAAAAAAAATTAGCCAGGAGTGGTGGCATGCACCTGTAGTCCCAGCTGCTTGGGAGGCTGAGGTAGGAGGATCCCTCGAGCCCAGGAGTTCCTGGCTTGCAGTGGGCAATGATTGCGCCACTGCACCATTATAGCCTGGGTGACAAGAGTGAGATCCTGTCTCAAAAAAAGAAAAACAAATAGTGAAGCACATGAATAACTCCCACAATTACTCCCCTAGAAAACTGTACTGGTTTTAGAGGTAAGCACTAAGGAAAATCTCTTGGTAAAGAAGGAAGAGGAACAAATGATTTTAAATTAATAATGCCATAAATGAGGCCAGGCATGGTGGCTCACACCTATAATCCCAGCACTCTGGGAGGCCGAGGTGGGAGGATTGCTTGAGGCCAGAAGAACAAGACCAGTTTGGGCAACACAGCAAGACCCCATCTCTTAAAATAAACAAAAAATTAGCCAGGCATAGTGGCGCAAGCCTGTGGTACCAGCCACTCAAGAGGCAAAGGTGGGAGCCCAGGAGTTGGAAGCTGCAATGAGCTATTATTACACTGCTCTATTCCAGCCTGGGCAACAGAGTAAGACCCCATCTCTCATAAATAAATAAATAAATAAATAAATAGTTTTTTAAAATGCCATAAATATATGTTTACTATTCTGAAACATAGAAATAAATGATTAATTTTAGCTAGACCTCAAAATTGTGCTTTTTAATAATCACGCTTATGACAGCTTCCAGTGAAAGAGCAAAAATATAAATCCTAAATTTAACATGAATGCAACAGAATTGGTCATTTCAAATTACGTTTCCTCACTATAAATTAGCATATACCTGCCAAAAATGCTAACCAAAAATAGATAATCTAATAGATTTTGGGGAAAATAAGATACCATTATCCGTCCTTGAATAATGTTACCTAAGATATAACCATATTTTGATGCTAATATATGGCAATTATTTTGTCTCTAAAAAGCACAATTTTCTACATTAGCGTCTGAGTAGAATGTGAACACCTTAATGCTAAGGATTTGTGCTATTTAAAATATCTCCATGCAAAAGTTTGTAAGGCAGATGAAGTTTTTCTTTCTAAGTGGCAGATATCAATGATGCAGCCCTAATAACACACCAAAGACAAGACAACACCCACTCAAAAAATTCCAAAACATGCACAACAACTGATCCAAAACATTGAAAAAAATACCTTCATTTTTGTCAGGTGATGATGAACCTAAAGCACAGAACAAGAACTCAGTATGTGGCTTGTCTTTTTTAAAATTAGCTTTGTCTTTATCCACTGGTCAATCATCTAATACAGTAATATACAAGGAACACACTTATCCTAACATAGTGACAAATATAGGAGGGCTGATAGGCAATACATACGCTGTGATTGAGACACCATTTTTGTTCGACTTCTTCCTCTAGAATCTGTCTTGGCATTTCCCATGCCAGCAAGTGGTGCTGAAAGTTTTGCTCTCACCCGGCCTGAGAAATAAAATAATTACATAATTAAAAACATTTTTCTATAATAATGTTTAATAATGAGGGGAGAAAAATCTCACTATTTTTAGGTATTGCCAAATTCTGTAATAATGTAATCATCAATTATGGGTTCTATTTCTCTTAAAAATTTTATAAACAGTATTTCGTTTTTACGTGTTATACAATAAGCTAACCTTCCTTCAAGGGTAAGAAGAATCAAACTAAAAAATTTACATTCTTAGTTTAATTATTAGTCCAGCAGTTATCATTAAGATAATTACCATAGGCATGTCACTTGTTTCTCAATTGGTAGTTGCAATTCTGAAATTTTAGTTTCCATGAAGTTTAGATTATTCTCAACTCAACCCTACAGTTTTAAATATAAGCCTAATCTTAGGAACAATTCAAACCATCCTTTTGACTGAAAATGTATTTCTAAAGGGATCTGAAGGAAGAGATATAATTAGGCAAAAGATTTAATCTCTTTATATCAGATTACTACACATGTATATGGACATGTTTACTGCTCTCTTCCTCCAATTAACCATTTTATTTAGAAAATGATTTGAGGAAATACATATCACATAAGAGTTGGCATTTTTCTCAATATATTTCTTTTCATACCTCCCAAACTGCTCCTTTCTACTCTACCACTGCCTCATTCCCCTCCACAAAACTAGGCCACAAACATCCTCACTCTATTTCTAGAGCTCTTCAACCACAAGAAACATGTTTGTCAAGTGCTTAAGTTAGCTGCAGTTAATAAAAATAAGTGAGGACAGAATATATTATTGGATGGTACTTTGGTGTTCTTAAGCAATAGTCTCAACTACTATCAAATCAGAACCAATAAGGTTTGTCATTCAAAAAGAAGGGCTCAGAACTACTTTTAGTTAAAATTAAAAGATACAACTTGTAGGGTATACATGAAATACTGGCTAGCCCAATATGACCATATTAATTAGGAAAAAACATACTAAATAATAAGAATAAAAACTCCTTAAAGAATAAGGAGATATCACAAAATTAAGAAATGAGAAAAGATGAGAGTAGTAAGAACTAGGAATAAAACAGAATCAAAACCAGAAGTTTAATTGGTAGAATACCAGCATACTATCAACTTCAAGGCCCCTAATGAGCCCGTGGTTCAGGCCTCTCACCCTTTTACAGTCTATTTTGAGCAGGACACAAAGTTCTCTTGACTAAAAAGTAAAACAAAATGACCAAATTATTATTTTTGAAATGGAGAATTAATCTACATTGTATATAACAAAGAAATGAGAATGTTATTTTGATATTAACATTTGAAATTACAATTCCACAGTGCCAGAAATCATGTTTTTATTTTTATTTATTTATTTCTTGATACACAGTCTTGTTCTGCTGCCCAGGCTGGAGTGCGGTGGCATGATCATGGCTCACTGCAGCCTCGATCTCCCAGGCTCAAGTGGTCCTCCCACCTAAGCCTCCAGAATAGCTGGGACTATAGGAGCGTGCCACCACACCCAGCTAAATTTATAATTTTTTGTAGAGATGGGTTCTCACTATGTTGCCCAAGTTGGTCTCAAACTCCTGGGCTCAAGTAATCCTCCTACCTCAGCCTCCTAAAGTGCTGGGATTTCAGGTGTGAACCCCTACGCCTGGCCAGAGATCATATTTTTATAGAGTATTCCAATTTAAAACTTAAAATACAAAATCATTTTAAATATATCAGAGTAAACATGAGACCAAATAACTTTTTTATTCTACTTGGTTTTGTATCGCAAAAAATAGTCATTCACATAACACCTAGAGGAAAAATTATATTTTGAATCAGAGGTTTTAAAAAGACAGATTTCAGGTAGAGTGAATATAAACACTAAATTCCTTTCTACAAACTCAAAACTATAAAAATGATTTTTAAGATGAACTGACTCAGTAAGATATGTGTAGCAATTCTGGTGTAATTCAATTTGAATCTGTGACCAATTCCCCACTTACTGATTCAAAAGTAGAAGACATATTTTAAAAGCAGACTAAGTAAATGCATTTAAAACTTCAATGATAAAGCAATGGTGCATGATCTCTTAAAGTATAAATGAATTGGCATAAATAAAAAAAACTACAAACATGTAAAAGCATTAATGTCACTACTATAAAAAAATGAATTATATGCTTACATTATACTATGTATTATTAAACATGTTAAGCAAATTATGTTTTTCCAGCATGAGATGATCTAAAGTACAAAGCAAACTAGCAGGATGAAGAATTAAAAAAAAAAAAAAAAAAAAGATCCACACATTACTAAGACAACCAAATATAAAATGTAGAACTTACTACCACTGGCAAATTATAAAGACTTGCAAAGAAATTAGCCTATTTTAGTTTTAATATTTAATTCCTACCAATGAAAATAGTAATGTAGATGTATTTGTGTTACTAACAAAATATATAATTCTTACCATCTTCAGATGCTGTTCCTAAATAAGAAAAATAAAACAGTATTTCAACAAATTCTGCCAATGTTGATATTAAGACCTGCCTCACAATCCCCACCCAACACTATAATGAAAGGGTAAAAGCAAAACGTAACTTTTTGACAGCGTTAAATTAACTGTGGGAAGGTTCATTTTGAGAAAAACAAAATTTGAGGAAATCCAATGATTCACAGCACACAGAAAAAGGCTGAAACTAGACAAATGAAAATAACAAAAATCTATAGGAAACATTTTTTGTCTGCTATATTTCATTCTTAAAATTTGAAATGGTATAAAAAATTAGAGAAATTAATCCCTCAAAAAATGTAACTCTGTAATTACTCTTTGAAAATGAAATTTTATAGCTCTTTCCAGGGTAGAAATGTTTTCTCTGCATTTTCAAAAGGTAGCCCATAAAGGAATCAGAAAAAGCTAACTAAGAAACATAGGAATAAAATCTATGACATAGGCCTCATTTGCCCATTTTCATCAAAGCATCTACAAAGTAAAAACCTATCAATCCAATTCATTAGCTATTTATTCAACATTTATGTGCACTCCTTAAGATGTCGATGAAATCTATAAAAAATGACTAAGTACAAACATCATAACTCACTACTAAAGGGCAATAATATACATGTCTGTGTTATTTTTTTTAAACATAGGATTGAACATCAGTAAAAGTATCACATCATATAACAGAAGTGACTCCTCAAATAGATTGATATTTCCTACCCAAACAGGAAAATATTTTGAATGGGAAAGTGATAAAAGTGTTTTTAAAGGATTCAGAATATCAATATTAGGATATCCAAGGGGTTTGATACATAGAAACCAACTCTTGATGGGTTATCATTTCATTCAATATTTTATTATAATAATATAGAAAAGCAGAGACTAATATAACTAGCAGTCATGTACCTAACCCAAGGTTTAATAAATGTTATATCTCATTAAAACAGAAGATATATTAGATCAATTTTCCATTTACATAATAATTTACAGAAAAATATATAGTGTCTCTGTTTTTCTTAGATCTCATAATGTGGCATACAGATTTAGTATCTTAAGTTATTTAAAAAAGGTCAAGCTCATAGGTAACATTATGGTATCTGCTGCAGTGAAGGGAAAGTGTGGATAATATACTATCTAGTATCAGACAAAAAATATCATACAGGGTTGTTACTGAACCGAGCCACTACAGATAAACTGTAAGCAACTGAATACTGAAATTAAAAGGGCAAAGTTTAAAGTTCAATTTTGACTAAATGTTAGTTTACAACGCCCTCTAAAAAGTCAGCCTCTGTAACTTGCATTTCATTTTCAAAAACAATCATATGAACTTATGAAATATGTCATTTGTCGTATCAGTTAGTAGACTAAAGAGGTGAATGAAATGATTTAGGAGATTTCTTTCCATTCTTCTGAATCCAATATTTTTTATGAAGACTTAACAAATCGAGAACATTCAGAGGCGTACTTCTAAAGAGCTCGGGAAAACATTTTAAGGTAATTAAGTTAAAACAAAATAGTTACCTAGTATTTGAGTAGACTGGGATATAACCCCAACTTTATTCAGAGAATTATGTAGCCATTTTTACATTAACGTTATCACTAAATAAGTATTAATAATACATTTTCAGAAAATAAGAGAAGAATGAACAAGAATATTATATAGAATCCAGGTTCCATAAAAATCTTTAGTAGAATTAGGAAAGGAAGTTCTTACCATCCAGCTTGTCAGAAGTATCCTCTTTGATGAAAGTGCAAGCAAGGAACAGAGGAAAACTTAGTATATTAGAAGAAATGATTTTTATAATTCCTAGAAAACATTTTCTTTAAGAAGACAGAATTCATAGCACAGACATACATATCAAGCTTGTTTTCAACTAAAACAGACTAGGAAATTAAACAAGATGTGAGATAAAGACTTCACCTAATGTACTAAGTAGATAATTTTTTACAAGTTGATAATGAGTCTTATTTTCACTAGCCTAAAAAGAGAAAAGTTAGTGAGGTCCACATCCTAGACTTGGACTTTGCCGTCAGGCCAATCCCCTGCTCTAGTCTGAGTTTTTCCCATCCGGTCACATGGCCTTGTTTCTTTTCTCTCTTGTCTATAGTATACCCCCAAATTTCACACTTAGGCTCTCTCATCATTAGCCTCTGTTTACCACCTTGTTGCTTCCTCACCCACATCCTTTCTTAGAACTTTCAGCCCCTATAAAATTTCACATCTGAATGAATCTAACTCACTTTCTCTATTCTATTACTTGAGATGCCCCATAGAGAAAACTACACAACCATGAAGTTATGCATACTGGCAATACTAGAAACTGGGATAAATATCTGACTTGGTGTTTAGTGCCGATGCTAAAAGGATTTAACATAGCAGGACTGATATTGTTCTTAAGAAGTGTACACTTGTGGGGCTGGTCTCTGGTAATCATTTTGGATCCTCCCTATATTAATAAGGTTATTTTAAGTGTGTGTGCGGGAGTTGTGGGGACACAGAACTCTGCTACGGTTCGCCTAAGCTGTTTTTGCAAACAGTGTGATTTATGGTGAACACCTCCTTTCTTTTTGGGAATCTGGGATTCTGGTAATTGTGGCTGGTTGTGCAAGCAGAGTGCCTTATGTGACTACTCCCAATCCCCTACTGGCCCCCCAGCGTGAGTCTTAAGTGAGCTTCCTTAGGCAGAAACACTGCGAACATGTTGCATTGCTGTATTTCTTTTCTTTTCTTTTCTTTTTTAATAGTCTCGCTCTGTCACCCAGGCTGGAGTGCCATGGCGTAATCTCAACTCGAACTGCAGCCTCCACCTCCCAGGTTCGAGCGATTCTTGTGCCTCAGCCTCCCGAGTAGCTGGGACTAGAGGCACCTGCCACCGCGCCTGGCTAATTTTCGTATTTTTAGTAGAGACGAGGTTTCACCATGCTGGCCAGGCTGATCTCAAACTCCCGACCTCAAGTGATCTGCCCGCCTAGGCCTCCCAAAGTGCTAGGATTACACGTGTGAGCCACTGTGCCCTGCCCGCATTGCTCTATTTCATTGCTTGAGGAAGGAGTAGCCCCTCAACCCTATCTCTGGGAGACAAACTTTGAAAGCCTGTGTCTAGACTCCTTCAGACTATCTAACAGGTCTTTTTCTTTGCTCTAACAAATCCTTTTGCTCTAATAAATGTCAGCCACGAGTGCCCCACCTCTTGTGTCTACTCCCCCCAAATGGCTATTCTAAACTTCAAGTCACCTGTTAGCACATGATCCTGACTGAATCTTTAGGCAGAAAGTCACAACAACCTCCCCAATCATACTCTTCTTAATGCCCAACTTTCTAAAATATCATATCTGATATCTACTACCTCTTCCACTTCCTTCCCTTCTACATCAGTGAAATGGTTGACCCTTCCACATTCAAGACTAACTCCCAGACTATGCTCCATATCCCATTCCTCACACCTTCCACAGCAACTTAGCTATTAATTATCTCCCTTCATCCTCACACTTCTAACTTTTCCATCTCTACTGACTTGCCACCTTAGGATACAAACATAATTCACTTTTCCAATCTTGTAAGACGATAAGTTCTTTCAACCACAGATAATTCTTACCATTCTTTCACCCCTTTTCTTGACTATCAGGCATAATAATAACTTGTACAGATTCTCTTTCCAACTTCTCAACCAACCAACTAAAATCTGACTTCTGTCCATATGACCTCACTGAAATTATATTTTCTTTTCCACTCAAGCAATTCCACAAACTCAATTGCTAGAATAAATATTCATAAATATGCACTCATACATCAAGGTTACCTTAACTTAAATTCCTGTTTCCTACCACCAAGTTTCCCCTTCAGGCCGAAGTTAAAGGGTGAACTTCAAAACACTTATGATATCCCTGCTGCCAAAAACTTCAGTACTTTAGAGATAACAAAAACCAGCTTTAAGGAATGCTCTGAGTTTAATACTGATTACAGTAAGTAAAAATGATCTAATGACTTCCAAATCTAATCGAATCATCAGCACAGATCTCTGCTAAGTTGTTGTTGTTGTCTTTTCTTTTTTTTTTTTTGGAGAATGTGGAAAGGTCTCACTCTGTTACCCAGGCTGGAGTGCACTGGAGTGATCACGGCTCGCTGCAGCCTCGATTTCCCAGGCTCCAGCAATCCTCTCACCTCAGCTTTCCTAGTAGATGGGCCCACAGACACGTGCTACCACACCTGGTTAATTTTTTGCTTTGGTAGAGGTGTGGTTTTGCCATGTTGCCCAGGCTGGTCTCAAATTCCTGAGCTCAAGCAATCCACCCGCCTCTACCTCCTAAAGTGCTAGTTTACAGGTGTTGAGTCACTGTGCCGGCCTCTCTGCCAAGTTCTATATACTACTGTATACCAAGGGTCCACTGAAAACTGCCAGTTTGAAGTCTCACAGGGACCTCAAACTCAAAATGCATAAAATGCAACAAACTTTTAGCTGCTCCTCCTTCAGCAACCTACCAATAGACTGAGAGATTCAGTATAGAAGCATATACCTCTGGATCCCTGGTACCTAGCAAAAACTAAGTGCTCAAGTAAGTGTGTGTTGAAAACTAATAGAACGCTCCCTCTAATCCATATATGTATAGCCATAATAAGTGAGGCTCAAAGTAGAAGAAAACAGAGTTTATATCAGTCTTATGTGTGTAAGAAGGGTACATGAGACACAGCGGGTAGGGTGGGGTAAAGGGAGAAAGGGAAGCAGGGAAAAGAAGGAGAACATCCTTTATCCAACCCCTGAAAAAGCCACAGGCAGGTATCTGATTGTCCCTGAGTGGGAACCTGGATCAGATGAAGAAAAGAAAAAAGTAGTGGCATTTCTCCTTTTTACAATGAAACATGAAATTCAAACCTTAAAGAACAACAATAGGTTCTCGCAAAAAAAATAGTGTTCCAAATTGGCTTTCTAGTGCACATTAAAACACTTTAAATACAATATTTTTCTTCTTGTAAAAATAATATTCAATGTAATGTGTTTTGCTCATATATATATATACGCATACACACACACACATATATATAGTGGATTCCTTAGGATTTTCTAAACACAAGATTGTGTTTTCTGCAAAGAGAGATAGTTTGTTCTTCCTTTCCAGTTTGGATACCTTCTATTTCTTTTCTTGCTTAACTGCCCTGGCTAGCACCTCCAATTTAACATTACTCCAACGTAATGTTAAATAGAGCCAAGAGTGCACATTCTTGTCTTGTTACTGATCTTAGGGAAAAATATCCAGTTTTTTAATCATCAAGTAGGATGTTAGCTGTGGATTTTTCAAAGATGCTCTTTATCAGGTTGAGAAAAATGACTTCTGTTCCTAGTTTGTTGAGTATGTTTATTATGAAAGGGTCTTTAATTTTGTCAAATGCTTTTTCTGCTGGTACTGAGATGATCATGAGGTTTTTGTCTTTCTTCTATTAATATGGTACATATGTTGACTGGTCTTCACATACTGAAATAACCTTGCATTCTTGGCAATGCAATGCTTTGAAACAAAAAGTTTTCTGAAAATTAAAAGCAGTAATCAACCCCGTTAACACCTTTGTAATATATCACGTCAGTCCTTCTTCTATGTATAATTTTACACAAAATGATGAAATTACTACATACTATTTGGTAGCCTGCATAATTCAATCTTTGTTGAAAATATGACTTTTTAATGGCTGCACACAACATATATAAGGATACAATATAACTCAACTATCCCCTCTGTTACACATTAAGGTTGATGCTAATAATGTTATTAAAAACACGAACATTCTTTTTAAAAACGTTATTATGTAAACATTGAATTACTGGGGCAAAAATTCTGATTTAAAAATGCTTCATGGAATTCCAAATTGGAACTCAGAAAAAGTGTCCCATCACTAATTCACATCAGCGTTGCCTGATGAGGCCCTTTTTACCACACTCTTGAAAATAGTAGGCAATACCCTTAACTTTCTTGTTATAGTTATAGGTCTATCCATTTGCATTTGTTTGATTACAGCTAAGGTTCAACATTTATTCTGGTATTTGTTGGCAATTGTGATACATACTTTTCTTGACATATAGAGTTCATCTGTTTTTAATGGACTTGAAAAACTTCTCAACTTTTTTACTAGTATGTGGCAAAATATTTTTCTCTTTTAGTTTTTGCTTAAGATTTCATATTTTCATACTTTAGATTTAAATTCAAGAGATTTTTGTCCTTCATGGCTTATTTGCTTTTATGTGTAGGAATTCCTGTGTCAACCTGAGATTTGAGGAATACTCACCTATTCTGTTTTCATCAAGTTGCTTTATGTTTTTAATGTTTTTATCATCTAGAATATAATTCTATATGATGTGTAACATGGTTCTAACTTAATTTTATACCAGATTGTAAACCATGTGTCTAAACACAATTTAATGAATAATCTACTCCTCTTCACGGTTCTGAATGCAGCTGTGCCAACTTTATCATGTACTATATTCATACCTAAATTCTCTGCATTTCTTAACCTATAAGAAACCTTAATCTATAAGCGTACTCCTTATTTAAAATGTTTGGGGCCAAAAACATTTTAGGATTTCAGATTTTGAAATATGTGCATTCACACTTAACTGATTGAGCATGCCTAAGCATCGTTAATTCAAAAATCCAAAATCCGAAATACCTTTTTTTTTTTTGATGGAGTCTCACTCTGTCACCCAGGCTGAAGGTGCATGGCACGATTTTGGCTCACTGCAACCTCCACCTCCTGGGTTCAAGCAATTCTCCTGCCTCAGCCTCCTAAGTAGCTGGGATTACAGGCATGAGTTACCATGCCCAGCTAATTTTTGCATTTTTAGTAGAGATAGGGTTTCGCCACGTTGTCCAGGTTGGTCACGAACTCCTGATCTCAGGTGATCCACCCGCCTTGGTTCGAAATACCTCTGAGTGCCATGTTGGTACTCAAAAAGTTTCAGATTTTGGAGCATTTCAGATTTCAGATTTTTTAGATTAGGTATGCTCAACTTGTATTGTGTTCAGGTCATTTGCTTGCTTAGTGTTCCACCAGTACTACCCGCCCTCCCCAAAAAAAAGAAGCATGAAGAGATATGCAATACAGATAACCAACCTCAACTTTTTAATTTGATGGACATAAAAACATGAAGAAAACAAACTGAACAGAGTTTTGGAATATATGTTTAGGGTTTGGTTAGACAGAGTAGAGCTTTGCCCTTCTCCCAGATCTCCAAAAGGCTTCACATTCTTGATAAGAGAAAGAGAAGTAGGAGAAAGAAAACAAGAAAGCTAGATACAAGACCAATTCCCTTCCCAAACCCCCTTAGAAACTAGTGGCTAGATGTGGTAGAAGTGCAGTTATGAAAACTCTACAGGCAATCACGGACTCAAGAATTGTTGCTTTGATCAAGATGATGATGAAGACAAGGGAAAAGAAGAAACAAGGCAGCTCAGATTCCTCAGAAGCATGTCCCCAATACAGAATTATATTTAAACATATGGACTATCCTTAAATAACAAGAATGAATAGAAATGATTAAGGTATATGAACTTGTCTTCACAGAGATCAGGGAGAGAACATGGTACAATTTTCCATAATCAGTTGTCTTACCTAGTGATGCATAGGAACCTGGATTCAGGGCACCTGCACCTAAGCGCCCGTTTCGCACAGACTGTCCAGCAGCATGATGTGCTTTGGCACCAGCAGCAGCATTCACATCAATGTCACTTCGTGAACGCTGCAGACTTCCTGGAAGGGAACTAGCTTTGCTGCTGCCTGCTGATACTATGAAAGACAAAGCAAAGGTAACCTGTATCATTTAAATCACTGAAAACATGAAAATTATATAAACCTGACCACCATGAGTTAATCTGAAGACAAATGGTCAACAAAAAGGCAGTGGCCAAATGGACAGTACTATTAAGTATTTTAAAGTTAGAATGCCTCAGTTTCAATCACAACTAAGTCTTCAGCAATTTTCTCAATATTTCTCTGCCTTATTCCTCTCCTTTAATGGGAAAAATGATAACATTTCTGACTATAAAATTCACAGGACTGTCTTGTAGATGAAGAGATTATTGTTTAGGACTGATTTAGCAAAGAAGCACTATACAAGATAAATAGAAGGCAGCAGTATCATTTTACTTATAAGAAAATTCAAGAAACTAGTCGCAGGAGTAGAGATATTAAAAAATTAATGGAGTTCTGCACTTGACCTGTGGGAGAATGCAGATTAGAAGTCATTCATTTCTGGTCTTTAGATTTTCCAGTTTTTTATTTTTATTTTATTTATTTTTGAGATGGAGTCTCGCTGCTGTCACACGCAGCTGGAGTGGCAGTGCGTGGCGAATCTGTGACTCACCTGCACCTCCACCTCCGGGTTCAATGGATTCTCCTGGCTCCAGCCTCCTGAGTAGGCTGGATTATGGGGCATGTGGCCACCAATGTCCGGCTATTTTTGTGTTTTTAGTAGAGATGGGGTTTCCCATAGTTGGCCAGTCTGGTCAGGAGTTTATAACTGGAGTTATTTGACCCCATTAATGACAGCTGTA